CCTCAAATCTCCAGGATTTTCCATACCTAAAGCTGGCAACTTTATCTCCTCCCCTCTCAGTAGCCTCTTATTTTGCCTTAAATTGGTTTTGATGCCAGCAGAGTGAGAAAATGCCAGAGGCTCTGGGTGGGTGCCTCATCGTAAATGCACCAAACAATTCCTAAAGATTTGCCAAAACACTACTCTGTCGACAAATTGAAGCACTTTGAATTAGCACCAGAGCTTTAAGAGCTCTCCAGCTGTCACCTGGAGACTGGTAACAGCTTGTTTGGAGGGTGGGGAGTATGGCATTGTATCTGTCTGAGGTCCTCCTCTTTCTCTTCCTCCTCCTCCTCCTCAGACCCCACCCTCAGCAGGCTTCATTCCTAAACTATCCTGGAAGTTTCCAAACTGGAGTTGGCAACCCTATGTCCTTTCCAGGCAACCATCAGCCTAACCTTTATCTGCTTGTCTGTCTTCAAGTTTACTCCCCCCCCCCAAGCCTCTGCCTAGGGAAAGCAGCTGTCATCATTCTCCTCTCCCCCTATGAGGTATGTTAAGGTTGAAAGTGTGTGAATGGTCCATAATCCCCCAGGCAGCTTTTAAAACATGATCCTGGGACCTACACACCACCAGACATTCCAACAGCCTTGCGGGGGGGGGAGTATGAGGTGTGGAATGGAGTGAAGTCCAATCAGCTTCCATATGCAAAAGACCTTGAAGGTTCCATATGCAACTGACATTCCAATGCCTTGCGGGGAGGGGGGTGAGTTTGAGGTGTGGAATGCAGTGCAGTCCAATCAGCTTCCATATGCAAAAGACCTTGAAACGCTGGGCGGGACTGCACAATGCAGCCAGTCAACCCAGCCAGCGTCTTCTGACTGACAGTTCAAGCGTCCATACACTAAAGGGGTCAAATTTAGAATGTTCATATAGAATGTTCTTACTCAATTATATATAAGGTGAGATAGTCTGCACTAGAATTACCGATTGTGAAGAACAGACTTTTGAAAGACTATTACCACGGCATGTGGGCATATACACACGTTCTGTCCTACTTGGAAGTTTTGTGTTTTAGTCTTACTTTCTGTGTTTGTCATTTAAAGCAACTCATTTAAAGCTGAAAGAGGGCATTCGGTGTCTGCATACAGACAAAGCGATTTAGATGAAACAAACTTTTCCTTTGTAAATTTACCTGTGGTATTACTCCAAACGCTTTTCTCCACTGTTGAACAGAGACTGTGTTCCAGGAGACGTCATCAATTTGAATATCCCCTTCTGTATTCATTAGTCTTAACAAGGCAAAGAGCAAAGTACTCTTCCCGGAGCCAGTTCTTCCTAAAAGGCCCACCTGCAATATTTATAGACATAAATTAATGAAGAAGCTGGTGCTCATAAATTAATTATGTATATGTTAGAAATTAACAACGCACAGGATTGTATGGCTTATGTTGCAATGGATTTGGAACAATAAATATTAATGCTTTAGGAGCATTAATGTGCAGTGCTAGGGATGGATTCTGCCAAAATGAAGTGTTACTTCAGTTAACCTGTAATAGAATCTACTCTTCTGTCTTTACAATTAGAATACACTTCTGTTTATACCCTTTGCCGAACATCATTCCTCATAACTGGAAAAACTGCATCGTATTGTAGTATAGCCTCGAAGTGTCACAGCAGTCAGAAGGCTCATGCTTAAATTTTATGACTGACTGAGCCATCCTAACTAGGACTACTCAGAAGTAAGACCCAGAAAAATGTTCTTAGGTTCCTGCCACACGGCAGGGGAAAAGGCGCTTGAAGGCGTGGCTTTTAAAAGCCGCGCCAACGTTGACACGCGCGGCGGGATCTCACGGATCCCCCGGCCGCGCCGCCGTTTCTCCCCGGCGCGATCAAACGCCGGGGAGAAAACACGGCCCTAACCGGGGGCTGGCTGAACTGCGCATGTCTGAGCATGCGCAGTTCGTCTCCGGCCCGGGGTTGTGCCGGCGCGTCCTTGCGCCGGCGATCAAACGGCCGGGAAGAGGCGCGGTTTCCAAGAACAGAGACAGTTCGGGGACGGTATCACGGCGCTTCCCAGATGTTGTGGTGTGATCGCGCCGGTTTGAACCGCCCCCGAACTGTCCCGCTCCCGGAACAAGTAGGTGAGTGTGAACGGGACCTTAGTATTGCAGCCTGTTTATTCAATACTGCATTCCAGCCATTTACTACTTTAAGAGTTTTAAATATTTTAAAATTCGTTGTATATGATTGTGGACCTAGGAATTGTTTTCATGGGAACCTCTTCAGCTCAGCTTTCTTTGCAGCTCTCAAATTCATTTTACATGCTTGTTTCTTAATGTCTTAAGTATAGCTTGGGTTGCCAACTGCCTGGAGAGAAAAATTCATTTTCATTTAATAAAGGCTTAATAGTATCTTGTTTATCTTCATGCCATGAAATTTTTCACCTGCCCATTGCCCACATTAAGCCTCTGTTAAAGGGTCAGGACATCTTTTCCAGTCCTGTTGGCAACCCTATAGCTTCTTATTAACTTTTCCCGTACTGTCTTAGAGAAAGAGGCCAAAACAGGTCACCACTGATTGAAAGTCCTTTTAACTGTTGTATTACATCCTTGCTATAAGAGAGTGCTAGAAACTCTCAAGTAATAGTTACCTCTTTTGATCTCTGAATCAAACTCTCTTCCTTCTTTTGAAAGGAAGAAAAGAGAATAGAGAGAAAGGGGTTTTTTGTACATGCAGATCCCATTAATGTATCACCTGAACCCAAGAGGCTGACAAAATACCACAGACCCTACAACAGCAACTGGAGACAGAGTCTTGTTATTATAATTCACCTTACTTTCAATGTGCGTCAAGTCAAGGCTGCCTTTCTTTGGCAAAAAGGTTCTAGTATTATTTCCTAATCTTTATTTATTAGGACTTTTTTTTAGTAGAGACTTAGAGGTTTTATGGAATAAGTATAGATGGTTGAAAGTAGCTAGCTGTTTATTCAGCACTTTCCCCTCAAGAGAATACACAGAGTTAGCTTCTGCTACAGTAACTTTCCCAAAGATGGACTGGAAGTACTTTTAGCCAGTTAGTCCTTCAAAGTTTATGGAGCTTTAAACACAGTAGCCAGCGATGCGTTACTAGCACACCACCCTGCATTCTTCTTTTCTATTTGGGTCACTCTGCCCCAAACTTACATTTATTAGTGAGGCTTTCCACCGCACAAGGAAGACATAAAAATGGATAATGAATCCAAGTGCAAGTGCAGGTACAGGAAACTAGACTTATTGCCTTGGTATTTTATTCACACTCCAGGATTTCTCGCAGCACTTCTAATAATTTTAGATTTATTTTCAATTTTGGTTATTTTTAATTTAGGTTGAAACCAAGCAAATGATTTCTTCAGAACTCTCAGCATATTCACACCACATGAAGCTGCCTTATACTGAGTCAGACCACTGATCTATCAAGATTGGCATTGTCTCCTCAAACTGGTGACAGCTCTCTGGGATCTCAGGCCAGAGCTCTTTCTCATCCCCTATGACCTGATTTCAGCTGGAGGTGCTGAGGATTGGTCCTGGGACTTTGTAAATCCCAAACAGATCCTCCAACACTGAGCCCTTTCCCCATATTAAAATAATACAGGTATTCATTGTAAATTGTTACATGTTAGAAATCAAGAACAGCTCATTCTTTTGTTTAGTAGCAGCGCTGCCACTTTGTTAGGTAGTTTATACGAAAATAGGTTTCAACAATGTATTCTCACCCTTTGTCCTGGACTTATTGAAAAGGAAATATTTTCTAGTACAGCCAATCCTCCATCTACATACTTGGCTGTGAGGTCTTTCACCATCATTTGTCCACCAGATGGCCAGTTGTTCTCATCATTTGCATGCTTATTCTCAATTATGAAGGTGTTAGAAAGCTGCTCATTTTGTGACAATGGAGTACTGGATTTGGTTTCCTCTGTTGGCATGTCAATGAACTTAAATATCCGGCTTACAGACCGCATCTGAAAAGCAGACAAAATAGCACCAAAGTTTTCCTTTAAAAATACACCAAAAACATTCTTTTCTCTTGTATGGAGTTTATCCCAGAAAGTTACACACTTCATCCTTACGAGTCTCAACAGTGCCATCCTAAGCAGAGTTACACCCTTCTAAGTCTATTGGCTTTAATGAAGAAGGGGTGAATCTTATAATCCACTTTGGGTCCCCATTGGGGAGAAAAGTGGGGTTCAAATGAAGTAAACAAATACTAAGTAAATACGCTGCTTAGGAATGCACTGCAAAGTATAACTGAAAATGGAATCCTGACTGCAACAAATTCGTTTAAGGTGAAAATCTCAGTACAAATTATTGGAACCTCTATCTACCATTCCTTCTTATGTATGCTGTTCATCCTGTGATTGAAATGACTATCCCTAAGCATTAGTATAATGAAGGGGTTAAAGTAATGTACGGTCAATTCTACCTCCACGTTTTCTCCAACAAATAGCATGGAGCTTACACATATTTATTTATTATATTTATACCCCGCCCATCCTGCAAACAGGCTCAGGGCAGCTAACAGAAGCGGTACAATGTACCTAGTCGACATAACCATAAAAAATTTTAACTACATAAAATACATACTCATTCATATACATGTAATTAACAATTAGCAATAAAGTGCTCGCAGTGCTAAAACATTTGATGGCGTGCTTTCAGATCTAAATCCATGTTGTTTGTCCGTAAGATTATGTGGCGGGAGAGTACTGTGTGGTGCATATGACTAGGGATGAGCATGAACCTGCTCATGAACTAAAGTACATGATTAATTTTGGCCGGTTTGTAGTTTGCGAACTGAAGTTTGTGGCAGGTCAACCAGCATGAACTTTTCACAAACCTTCAAGCAGTTCGTGAGCAGTTTGTGTGGTTTATGAATGGATATATTTTCAGATCCAGACTGTCTCCACTCAATCAAATCATTTACCAAACTTCTTGTCAGTTTCAAGAGGCTTCCCCCCTGTTGCCAGCATTCCTTTGTGTTCCCTTCCCATTGTCTTGCACAGAACTTGCAAAAAACAAGTTGTGCTTTGAGATCAGTCCTTTCAAGCTTGCAATGCCAGTGGCACTGGGTTCTGCTGGGCACTCTGTGATTGCATTGGTACTGCTGGGCACTCTGTATATTTGACAGGTTCTGCTGGGCTTGCAAAATGCCCCCACCTTCAGTTTCTACTGCAGAGATTCTCTGGGACTTTGATTCTATTCTGCTGGGCTTCTATTGCCCTTGGTTTGGTTTAGTTTTTTGCTCTTTTATTCCTTCTATTGGAAACAAATGGGGGGTCACCTTCTGGGGGCCCCTGTAACTTGGATCTCATAAATCCAATCCTCACCAAACTTGCAAGGCGGGTAGAAGAGAGGCAACTGGAGATCCCCTGCAGATTTGGTGTCTCTAGCATGTTGGGGGGGGGGTGTTCTACTGCATCATGAACCTCATGAACCAATCTGATTTCTTTGGGAGCTTAAAGTTCACGACCATTTATGCTCACAAACTGGGCATGCCGTGAACTAGAGATGGGCACAAACTGAACCACAAAGCAAAATTCATCACAAATTTTGCCCTGTTTGTGTTTTGGAAACAGAAGTTCCTGACGGCTCTACTGTCACGAACCTCCGTGAACTTTTAGAGCAGTTTCTGTGGTTCATGGTAGTTCGTGGATGGAGCAGAAAGCAGGGGTTAAAAGGTACTCCAAGGTAAAGTTAAAAGGGACTGCAGAAGACAATCCAAAACCACTGTGCCACACAGCAGTTTTTTAAGCTGTTTGTGGGGGGCTTTCTGCAAATCCCATTTAAAGGGACTGCAGTCCCTTTCAGTGGGGTTTGCAGGGCCATGAACCATGAACCAGTTCAATTTGTGAATGAGCCTCCCAGTTCACCTCATAGTTCAGTTACTTACAGCATTTTCCCGGTTCAGGCCCATCCCTATCATGAACCATGAACTGAAACCAATCACATTTTCCCAGTTCATGCCCATCTCTACATATGATTACTGTTGTACTTTCTGGAGCTGCCACAGTCACAGGAATTGCTGCAGTCATATGCACTGGTAGATGAGGGTACTTTCCCCAAGAAATTGAAGGACCCTGTAGTCTCACACACTACCACATGGGAGAGGTATCCAAAGAACACATCTGATATCTAACACATTAGCTCCTTGACTCTACCTAGCATGCTTTGAAGAGTTTATTTCAGAAACCCTGAGTCAAATGTTACAGTTCATTTACTTAGTCTAAATCTGGATGTGGGCTACAGCTGTGTCTCACAGCAACTTCAATGGTTGTTTTATTATTTAGTTATTTAGAAAACATATAGATTATGGCAGCATTGCAGGAGATACAGGATTGTGAGTTAGCAAGGGCAATTTCTAGCTGTTTTGCTGCAGGGACTTGAAGGAACTCTATAGACTAGAGTAGGCTTCATATGAAACTGGTCATATCATTTGTTTTTCTTACAATTTTATTTGATGAATCTTACAAATAGAGGGTTGATTTTCTTTTGGTCAATTGTAATAAAGCATGGAACAGTTGATTGCTGTGCTCTGTCCACAGCACCAAAGTTACCTTAATTCATACCCAGCATTTTTCCTCTGTTCTATACTGATCTCTTGACAGAATATCTACAAACTTACTAAGGCTTGTAAAGCACTTTTAATGTGAAGGCAAACAAAAAGAAACACATTGCTGTGATTAAATTCTAAACTGATAATCTAATCTGGTGTTTTGGAGAAGGAAATTGAATGATCAACCTGTTTTTCAATCCTATTTCTTTTATCCTTTTGAAAATACACTGTAAATTATAAGGTGCCAAAATGCATAGGGTTTGACAAACATTTCCTTCAACAGTTTATTCTGTAGCAAGACTAATGACACTTCCTTAAACATAGGTATTAGCTTATGTCGACCTTAGAGTCTCTAGAACAACAATGTGAGCTGCAGACCATGAGAAAACAAACTTTATGGAAGAGTATATTTGTGTCAGTGTTGGGAAATTATAGGGAGACCTCAGTTTAATTAGCTGAAGGTGTGGTTTTTTTGGTTTGGGGGGGGTGCTTCTGTGTCATGCACTCACTTCTGAAAACTGCATTTGTTTATTGTCTAAAATATCAAACCTTGACTGGCACTCTTGATTAATTTTGTTGTTAATCAGAAAGCTCAAAATTACTAGCCAATAGAATTGTAGGATCACTCTTTGCTGGCAATGCTCTATACAGAGGGAGATTAGTAAAACTGTTCCTGTAAGCTTCTTTACATGTGTATATATCTGAGGTCACTATGCAGGGAAAAGGTTCAAAGAGAAAGACCATACAGAAAGCAGCCCCAAAGCTGCTTATAACAATAGCAGAAAGGTTCTGCAGGCATTACCATAGCAATGGGTAATTGGGCTGAAAGCAGAGGTCGATTCGGGGGGATCGCGGGGGATCACGGGGGATCGCCGTTCCCCCGGGTGAGGGGCGGGGGCGGGGCACACAATGAAGGCCCCCCCCTGCTTCCGGCCGCCCCACTTCCGGCCCTCATTTAGCCAGGAGGAGGCAGGAGAAGAGGGAGGGTAAGTTGCTTCCTCCCCGCCTCTCCCCACCCTTGTCTGCCTGGGGCCAGGGAGGGCCTTGACGGGGCTTCCTTGCACTCCCGCTGGCCTTGCAGGTCCACCGCCGGGCCCGATGGGGCTCGGCAGTGAAGCCGCAAGGCCGGCTGTGGCGGTCGGGACCGTTGGGGGCGGGGAGCCTTCGTGGGGCTTCCTCGCACTCCTGCCGGCCTTGCAGGTCCACCGCCGGGCCCCTCATGGGGCTCAGCAGTGGAGCTGCAAGGCCGGCGGCGGCCAGGACCGTTGGGGGCTGGGAGCGGGGGGCCCTTCGCTGCAATACCTTGGAGATTTTGGGGGTGGAGCCTGAGTGGTGGGTTTAGATTCAGAGGAATTAGCTGTGTTAGTCTGTTGCTGCAAAATAGTCCAAGAGTTCAAATAGCACCTTTAAGACTAACCTTTAAGACTAAAACTAACTGAGTGGTGGGTGTGGCCTTATGACACACTTCCGGTGATGTCAGAGGGTGTGGCCTTATGACACACTTCCGGTGATGTCAAGGGGTGTGGCATATGCTAATGAGTTATGCTAATGAGTTCCCCTACCTCTTTTTCTATGAAACGACCCCTGGCTGAAAGGACAGCCTTTGGAACCATCAGCAGGTTTGATACGAGTAACATTCAAAATACTGGATTAATATTTTTAAAACTATGTTCAAAATACATGCTTTCCCACTACGAATCACTATAATATCTAATAGTACATTCTCTGGGCCCCATGCCAATTATGCCAATAGGAAAACAAGCATATGGACAGACAAAATAGGATTTCCATATGCACCCCCCATGATTTTGTAAATTAACCAAAATAAACCCAGAGTAATCCTAGATTTGCAGAAAAGCCCAATGTGTTTTATGTTGTGTGTGTGTGTGAAGCTAATCCCTCCAAATTTAACAGTGATGCTTTTGCATGCACAGACATTAAGAAAAGAAGCCGGGGTGGTGTTTTGGATTCCTCTAACAATGCAAAGTGTCACTTGATGTTGAGCCAGTGGTGCCAGCAACCAGTATCATGTGGGACGTGAATGTTGGGGTTTATTCACTACACAATGCTGGTACCTTCAGTTTTATTTCCTGACATTCAGGTGTAGTGTCGGAGGAGAGTTTTATGGATACCATGAACTGCCAAAAAGACAAAGAAGTGGGTTCCAGATCAAATCAGGACTGAACTCCTTCTAGAAGCTAAAATGAATAAACTGAGGCTGTTGTATTTTGGTCATGTTATGAGAAAATAAGACTCACTGGAAAATACAATAATGCTAGGACAAACTGAAGGCAGCAGGAAAACAGGAAGAGACCCAACATGAGATGGATTGACTCGATAAAGGAAATGGGGGCGAACTGATTATTCATGTTAGTGATATGAGTTCAGATTTAAAAGTTGAATAAAACTTAATCTTCTCTAATTTTTTGGAAGTAAAACTATAACCCTATTCAAATTCCAGTTTGTATATCCTCATTTTCAAGTTCTTATTTTGTGAGCTGTTATGTCTTTTACTTTAATGATACTTCTCATTTAGCCTACAGGCAATGTCACACTAGATACAACAAAAAACAAGTAATTTAAATAACCAACCAACTACCATACTTAAGGTACTTTGAATTTAATTACGTAAGCAAAGAATTTGGCTACAGCCAATATCACTCCTCAGTCCATGCCTGCCAAGAGTTTCTTAACCTTATCTGATGTTGACAACCCCTCATTACTTCAGAAAAGAGGCGTAATCCACAAATCCCTAATACAGCATTCCAGTAAACAATGCTTCAAAGTTTCTACCTGTCTAGAAGCACCATCAAAGTCTATCACAGTATTAGGTCATTTACATTCAAACTTACATTACATGAGAAGGGATATAAAGTTTAATCTTGCAAGCATAAATGCTCTTCCGTATCAAGCAACAGTTAAAATATGGTAAGGGTCCCTTTAGATAAGACAGTCCTAATAATAAAGCAGAACATACCCTATGGGCATGGCACTGTCAGCTGTTATAACAGTCCTTTAAACAGACATTTATTATTCAAATCTTTTTACCTAATACAATGTTTATGTCCTGATTAAAACACTCACCAGCCAGGAAAAGGTAAATATGATATTTACTGGGGGAAACTGGCAGACAGAAACTAGGCTGTGAAGATTCTGCAGAAGCTGAAGGAACAAAGGGAGGGTGCCTAGGAAACTTCACATGAAAATTGTGCAATCAGTCTATGTGATTAATTGTACGGGAAGTTTTAACTCTTTCTGGAAAGAAATCTACATGAACAGTACTTATTGTAATATTTGTAAAGGATGATCAATACATCAGATTGATTTCCAGTTGCATCCAAGTGCAATAATGTTATAATAATCAGCTGCCATGATCTAATAGCTCCTCGGAATTCCCAGCATACATTTTGCAACAAAGTTTCTAACCCTTTTTGTTGCAGAAAGATGAGAGGTGTACCTTTCATTTTTTTAAAAAAATTAACAAAGAAAAGTTTGGGAGTTCAGAGGAACTTGATGATCATGGCAATATACTTTTGGAACATTACTGCACTGTACTGGTTTAGCAATTGCCAAATTTGTAAAAAGCCTCTGGTGGCTTGCTTTCCCAATAGCCACTCATCAGTTGCAGGGAACTTATTTTTAAAGTACCTCAAAGGCCCCAGTTCAGGACGATCACAGTGCAAGGGGAAGAATGGCCTCTGCATTCCCCTCCACGCCATTCTTCCAAGCTGAAATGGCCCTGGGGGCATTATTTGCCCTGTTTGGAATTTGCACACACCCTAGTTTGACCCTTAGCTTATAAGGGAAAACTTGGCCATAGCGTTGCCAACAACCTGAGGGGAAAAATGGCCTGGTACTTTAATAGAGGCTTAATGAGATGTTACTTACCTCAGTGCCATGAAAAGCTTCAGCTGTCCATTTCCATACATTACGTTTATATTAAAGGAGCATGACATTTTTAAACCAGCTTGTTGGCAACTTGGTGTCCCCTCCTGGGGTTACGCTGGTGACAATTAAGTGGGACACTGTGTTTGTGAAGTACCCGCTCCATAACATTCACTGTGTGCTTATGCTGCCATCAGATGAAGACCATTTTAATTTCTCAGGCTATTGTTTGATTTTTCTTTATTCCTGTGTATTTGCTTTTAATATTTGCTGCCAATTTATTTATTGTTCAAAAATTAAAATATGTATTTAAATATTCAAACAACATTAAATACCCAATAAATAAATAAATAAATAAAATATTATTTTAAAATGTTATTTATCTTGAACATTATTACTGGCAAAAGCAGGCTAGAAATAGTATAATTTTTTAAAAAATATTTATGTTATAGTTTTTCAGGTTTTTTAAGTGTTCACCTTGCCCCTAATCCCAGTTAAAGGCTTCCTGAAATGCAATGAATAGTGAAAACTGAATTATTTGGCCTTCATATCAATGATTTAATGATTTACATTCTGCAGCCAGAGTGTGAAAGTTCATGCACACAAACATGTGAAATTAACAACCAAATATGAAAATAAAATAAAATTTTGTCTTCCAAGGAATTCCTGTGGGTCTTACCAGACTGTCTACATCTATGCTTGAGTTTACTGCCCATTGTAAGGTTCCCATAATATTCATGGCTAATGTAAGAATAATGCCGATTTTTCCTTCCCCGCTACCTGCAATTGAAAAGACATGTTTTAAATCCTCATGTGCAATTAAAAGTCAGCTGTCAAGGATTTTCTTATTCCACATAGTTTCTGAGACACTGGACGTCTCGCCAGCTTTTGAACCAAGTTAGATAGTTCATGACTTCAGGATCCTATTCTTGAACCTGCTCCTCTGATTCTGTTCTGTTTTTTTACTGAACAGGAACTAAGTGAGCAGTATCCAGCGGAGCAATGTACCTGGCCAATTGCCACATAGACTAGTGACAATAAAGCTCCATCTTGCAAAGTTTCTTACCAACAGTTCAGTTTTGCCCCAGCTATCATTTAACATAAAGCAAAGATGTTGTGCTATCTGTGTGCTGCCTCCAATTTTCTCTTATTGATTGTCGTAATTTTAGTTTTACTCTTGCTGGTTTCTTCAAACCAAGGTGATTCCGGAGCCCAGAGCAAAAGACCAGGATGGGGCCTCAGACTCACCATCACCTCCCAGGGGGTCCCCATGGAGCTGTGGCAGATGAGCCTGAGCTAGTGCCACTGACAGAAGCCAGCTGCCCAAGCCCCAGACAGGGTGGGTGTGAGGGGCAGCAAATCCCTGCTCTTTTTCTTCTTTGCCCCCCACCTTCAGAAGGGCAAGTCATGGGTGGTTGAGCCGCCCCCATGTGAGGCCTCAAGCAGCTGTCTCTGTTGCCATTGGTTAAGATCAATGCCTCCTGATGTCTCTCGTCCTGACTAGGGTGTCATTCATCCACTTAATTAATTCATTTAGATTTTTATGCCCCATCTAGAATCCTGCTTGACATGGCCTACAATTCAATTATCCATTATCAGAGCCATTTCATTATTTTAAAAATGTAATCTGTTTTTGAGCAAATCTACTCACCATGGGCATCATACTAATATTTTTTCTGCAGCTGTTCTGTGAGGGACTTACATAGAGGTTTGCTTCAGATCTTCTATTGCTGAAGCTAATATTAATGAGCCTGTCTTCTTTTTGAACGCTGGGCTAACATGGACAGCTGTATTTAGCCTTGTTCAGTATTTTTTTTTAAGTGTGAGAGAAGAAAACTCTATAAGTACAGATTTTGTACTCAAGTATCCCTGTCTGTGTACAACATATGAGACATCCACATAGATTAGTAGTGTTTCTCAATGCTGTAGTACTACAAGCACAGAGACTAGTTCACTTTATTTAACAGCAATGGTTTGGTGTCATTGTGCAGAAATGTAACTGGATCCCAGTTTAAAGAAAGTAAACTTCTTCAGTGAAATGTCACATGGGAGGCGCAGGCACAGCTGGGTCAGGAGGAACCTTTGCAAAAGCACATTCAGCATCAAGAAGCACTGCCACTCAAGGTCAAACTGCACTTTATGCTGGGAAGCTGGGATACCTTCAAAGTGAAATGGTGAAAAATATTTTACCCCATACCTTTGCTACGTGTATAAAGGATTTACACAGGAATGTGGCCTTCAAATAATTCTCCTTGTCTTTTCCTTGTCTTAAGACAATACTCACTTACTGTCAAAATCACATACAAGTAAGCATGACAGGTTCTTTGGGCTGCTGGATGTTATGATGACATGACTACAGGGACACCATCTGGAGCAAGCCCAGCTGTCTTTTTCCTTTGTTCTTGTTTCCTTATCCCTGTCATTGAGAATAGGCTATCTGGACAGCTGCAGGACACCTCTACACCTATTCTATAGCCGTTCCTCCTTCCCATTTCTCTCATCCTTTTCACTACAGCTGAAGTCAAGAACTTTACTTCCTATGCAGGGCTTTTTTTGTAGAAAAAGCCCAACAGGAACTCATTAGCATCATAGGCCACACCCAACAGCAAAAACTCATTAGCATATTAGGTCACACGCATGACAGTACAGCTCATTAGCATATTAGGCCTCCATGTTACCAGAAGTGTGGTCATCCAGCCACACCCACCTTTTGCTCCTTATTCTGTTTACCTTGTTTGTTGTCAAAACCCAGGGCTTTTTTTTGTAGCAGGAACTTCTTTGCATGTTAGGCCACACACTCCTAATGTAGCCAGTCCTAATGAGTTCCTGCTGTTGGGTGTGGCCTATTATGCTATTGAGTTCCTGCTAGGCGTGGCCAATTTTGGAGCCAGCCGGAACTCCGTTCCTGTGCATTCCTGCCCAAAAATAGCCCTGTTCCTATGCAATGCAATTTCCAGGTAGAAATCTCTGCCACCCTACCATGTGCTATTATATTTCCAGTTATGGGGAAATGATGGTTACATTTCTTTACCAGGATTAATAGCAGCATGTGGCTAGGGTGAAGGAAGATTCTATCAGGAAAAAGCACAGTAGAAACTGTTAAAAAAACCACCCAAACACCCCAAGTTTGCCACCATTGCAATTCCAATCCAAGTTAACCCTTACACCCTCCAAGCAGCTGCTTCTTACCACAGAGGTTCACAATTGTTGATATGATCATGGATCCCCAAAGTAATGCAATGTTTCACCTTGACTCTTTGTCTGTGGCACACAGCCTTGAGTCCTAAGCCTTGTTTCTATTTGCACCCAGCTTCATCCATTGAGTAGGTGGTTCTCCACTATACAGTGCTTTCCTCTGGTGGCAGCTGGTTTTTTGTTCATTGAAAGACAGTGGTCTTGTGTGAGCAGAAGCTCCTAGCAGTAGAGGAATGTACTCCACAGCTGACCACCTCCACAACAAAACAGTGCAAGTGGAACCAAGGTTTAGGATCCAAGTGTCAGTCTCTTAAAAAGGCCTTAAAAAGTATAGTCAGTATCAGGGGTCATTTCGTAGAAAAAGAGCTAGGGGAACTCATTAGCATAACTCATTAGCATATGCCACACCCCCTGACATCACCAGAAGTGTGTCATAAGGCCACACCCCCTGACATCACCAGAAATGTGTCATAAGGCACACACCCCGCCCCCAACGGTCCCGGCCGCCACCGCCGGCCTTGCAGCTCCACTGCCGAGCCCCATGAGGGGCCCGGCTGTGGACCTGCAAGGCCAGCGGGAGTGCAAGGAAGCCCCGCAAAGGCCCTCCCTGGCCCCAGGCAGGCAGGGGTGGGGAGAGGCAGGGAGGAAGCAACTTACCCTCCCTCTTCTCCTGCCTCCTCCTGGCTGAATGAGGGCCGGAAGCGGGGCGGCTGGAAGCGGGGGGGAGGGGGTCATCATGTGCCCCGCCCCCCATACCTCACCCGGGGAACTGCGTTCCCCCGCGTTCCCCCCCGAAATGACCTCTGGTCAGTATTCTCTTATACAGCAAGGTCTTCTGTAACAAGGCTGCAAAAGATGCTGAATGGAGCAAGTTTGTAGCCTCTTCTAGGAATTCACAATGACCATTAATTTTTCATATCTAAGTAGTTTTTAATACGTTCAGTACTTTTACTTGGTAGAACAGTACAGCTTGGTAGAACAGTGTACCTGTAGTTGCAATGGAAACAAATGTCACAATGACGAAGAATATGACAAAAATCATTTCCATTCTCATCTGGAACCATCGCAACGTGGACAAATAGAGGAACCAGTTTGCTGTGTGCAAATTCAAAGCTTTGTGGAATAATGTCTCAAAATAGCGTTGCCGTCCAAAAGCTCTCAGTGTCCAAAGCCCCTTTAAGCTTGTAACCAGATGTGTGAAAATTGGACTTCTGGCTGAAAAGACACAAATTTCAAGTATCTTTCACAATGAAACTTATATCCATACAACAAATCCCTTCAGTTTTTGCTGTGCTTGTTCTTATTTTTGTTTATGGCTATGCAATTTCACTCATCATTCAAAATGGTATATTATGGAACGGTAACTATGATCTTCATGTGTAGATATTTGCAAATGTTAAATCTAAACTTGTATGCTACAAGAAAAAGACTCTGCAAACCAACTCTATAATGGAATATTTTGACACCATTCTGTTCTCAGTTTTGCACGTTATTCCACTGAGATCAAGGAACTTACACAGACCACAGAAATGAAGTTACTGTGTATTAAGGGCAGTTTCTGGAAATGAAATACAAATAGGGAATATTTTTGAAACTTTGGTCTGATCTAAGTGTAGATTGGACATAAGAAAAATAGTAATCCTTTAAAATGACCATGAAAAGGTCTGCAAAGCTTTCCAAAATCAACATACCAAGTTTGAAAGAATCCAAATACCCCATACTGAGTATTTCATAAATATTCTATTTAATTTTAGGGAATTTTGGATTTATAATAGTAACAAGTAGATGACTTGGATTTGTGTGTTCCTAAGCCAAGAACCGCCCTTTCTCTAACAAATTAAAGTACATTTACTTCCTACTAATATGTATACATGCATATATCATATCTGGTTATTTTCTGATGTGTAAACTATAGCTACATTTTATCTCTCTTTTTTATTACTAAAGCACATCACACTTTTCTGTGGCAGTGCTCTGTTTTCAGAGATAATGAAATCTTGTAAAGGGGTATTGGAAGAAATTTTAATAAGGTAGATTTCTGTTCAGTTTCATCTACCTATTTTGTTGACTGTACCTTCAGATTCCAGTTGTTTGAGCTGCTGAGAAGTATGCAGGAAGTATGCTCTTAACATAACAAAGGCTCCAATAACAGGCACAGATGCCAGGAAGATGTAAGGCTCTATAATGGAGACGACAGCTATAGCTCCAACCACAATAAGTACTAGCTGCAGAAGGAAAGCAAACCAGAATAAATGTTTCCTTTCTCCTAATTTTACAACTTAGAAATTTGTCATTTAATTTCCCTGGATTACTAGCATATATAATCCCAGTAGTGTGTTCCCAGCTAGGGATTGCAGCTGGGAGCAAAGAAAGAAAGCCCCAGTGCAGAAGTTTGGGAAATGTATAATTTATTAACAGCCTAATCCAGGCCCTAGATCTGCAGCTCCACCATAGCTAACTGGCTAGCATAGCAATTGCACTGAAGTCCATAACAACATCACTCACACCATCAATCATATAGCAGCACACTGATGACACCCATATATCAGCCATATATGGAAGCAGCCAACCAACACATGGTGATGATGGCATTGCTCCCTAATTTCACCCTGCCCATACCCACATGTAGAACTCAACAAGGGAAGGAATATAGGAAACATAGTGGGAACCAAGGCAGGCAGCAAAATAAAATCACATAATACAAAGACATCAAACAACTGAAACAGCCAGCAAACCTAATAAATAATACTGATTTACAGAACCCTGCTCCCAAAGTCCTAACTGGCTATCATACAGACAAGGGCCCTCTAAATCTCTCTTACAACATTCAGATTGAACAGCTCCTATGAAAAACCAAAGGGGACAAAGTCTGTCTTAGTTCATTTGGGAGACTGTCCAACAGGGCTGGAGTGACTACAGAAAAAGCCTGTGTTTGAACAGTGACAGAACACATCTTTGGGACTGGAACAGCCAACAGGTGTTGAAGTGCACAGTGCAGTTGCCCTATAGGCTCACACCAGCAAATAGGGTCCTTCAAATATGTGGGTCCCAGGTTGGAAAGAGTTTAAATAGTTTCATCCTCATATCCCATGATTAGATAATAGTTTGTGTCCTAATGCAAGATATCTTATCTACCTTGCACTGATGTTCTAAATAATATGCTGAATGATTAGCCTCACTCATGTTCCAGCTCTCATACCCACTCAGTGGAACTAGAAAAAAAAGCAATCATCATCAAATCACTTACTCCAGAATATTTGTATTGATTTTAGAAGGATCACAGTGGGGAAGGTTTGTGAAATGCAACCAACCGTGACAGAGATCTATAACAGAAGTCCAGTGGTACTTGTTTTATTTACTTCTGTTTTATTTTGCTACAATAGAGTAGACTTAACATGTGTGCACACACACACACAGAGAGTGAGAGACATATATATACTGGAATGAATGAAAAGAACACTAATCCAGGATGCAGTAGTCAGAAAGCTATGAGAGGAAACATAATCTCATTCTCAAATATTTAACATGAGAGGCAATTCCCATTATTCATTCTTTGTCTCATCAGAGTGCAGGGAACATATTTCAGCAGCAGTACTACAATTCCCCTTTCCTGAAATTTTACATTGTTTATGTGCTGGCTCATTATTTGCAATCAAACCACAACAACTTATTGGGAACAAATACTTTGTGATTAGTGTGTAACGTGTGTGTGTGTGTGTGTGTGTGTGTGTGTAGTTGAGGAGCCAGAGAAATGATACAACCATTGGATTTTGGTGACAACTTACAGGAAAATACAGTAAACTTTGCTAATCCTTCTTATGTGATCATATTTAACTTCACAACTGATAACTGCTGTCAAAAAGAAAACAAAACATTTTTGTACCATGCTACAACTCCTCTTCATACCAATATCCTGATTTATTTATTTTTTACAAACCTGGACAAAGTCAAATATTGTGAATGGCAGTAGGTCATCCAATATTGCTGTATCCTTTGAGAATCTGTTGAGTATTCCACCTACATGGTGAAGGAGAAAATAATATAGGAATGCAGTGTCTGAAAATGAAAATTTTATTTACATTGCTTTATATATCTAGTCTTTCTGAGTAGTGAACATATCTGTGTATGTTATAATAGTGGTAGGCTTTAGTGATAAATCTGAGTTAAACTGAAATCACCATAAAAATATTATGGGTAACAGGATTTAACCTGAAGTAGCAGGGGCAATTTGATCTGTTTTCCTTGCTGTTCCCTTATGGATTTAAAGTGCCTGATCAGACAGCAACATCTGTCTGTCATGCCTGAGTCGTCTGAGTTTCATTCCCCCCTCCCCTTGCCCCGTGTTTTTTTGATACCTGATAAAGTCCAATCCTGTTGGTCTGAGCCGCTTCAAAAATGGATTTCCTGTCGTCTAGTCACTCCGTTGTGCACCCAAGCAGTCAGGCAGGTCTCACTGAGCTCTTGCTTCCCAGCCACCATTCTCCCCCTCCCCCCAGTTAGCGAGGATCGCATGACTGTATATATGCACCTCTCCCCCCCCCCCGAGGGGGCTGCTCAAAACCTCGTTTTCTTTTGAAAAACTCTTAAAGAAAGACACCCCTTTTTCTGAAGCTTTTAAATATTGTTTGGGGAAGGAGTAAACGAAAATGTTTAGAGGGAGGATGGCAGTGGACTCCATTTCCCAGCAGTCTCTTCACCACTTGTGTGATTGCTCTGTGGACTTAATTTTAAAAGAAAATGGCCAACAGCCCCATGAACTCCATATCCCAGCATGCTGAGTGCTTCTGGGCATGCTCCTAAGGGCAAACTTCTAAAAAAATGGCTGACGGGCTGACTCCCTGGTTTCTGCCATCTGGTCATGCAAGGAGGAGTAAAACGGCATTGAAGCGTGCTAAAATGGGTGAATCTGGTCAGGATTCTCTGCCACAAAATAACCTGGCTTAATTTGAGGTGGGGCAACAGTAGATTAAACTGCCCGTGTGAACGTAGCCCTAGCTATTAAAATGACCAACATGTAATATTTTATATACACTCCATTTACACACTGGAAAACCCAGCAATTCTGTATGCAGGATGAACTCCTGCAATTCTTACTTTATTCCAGAAAAGTCAACATAGAATGTGTTCTTTTAGACAAAAATAATAAGAAAATAAATAGGGAAAACTGAATTTAAAGCAAATTCCATTCTTGTCTTAAACATGTGTTGTTTTTGTTGTTTTTTGACTGAAGCTCACTTCTACTCAGCATATTTAGGATCACTCTTTGAATGGACTGAATCATCTCCATTCCAATTATTACAGATCAACTAGTTCAGGGCCAGCATCAGCATACCCTGAGGTGGGACAGCTTCTGGGGCCCAGAGGTTTTGGCAGGGCTCACTTCTTAAGCTTGCCAGAATCCCCCAGTATGCAGGGGATCCCCGGTTTCTGGCACTCCCCCCCCAACACTGGCCAACTGCCCCAAACACAACATGCCTAAGTCACCCAAAAGTGATGTAGGCACATCGGTGACCTCGGGGAGGGGGAAGCTCTGGTTTTTGGGCAAAACTCTATGATAGAAATGGCTTCAGACCATAGAGTTTTGCCCAGAAACCAGAGCATTGCCCCCAACATCCTCAGCGTGCCGGAGGTGACATAGGCATGGCATGCTTCTTCCCTCCACTCTCCTGAAGCATCCTGGTAAATCCCCTGCCTGCTTGTCTTTCGGGCCTGGCAACCCTACCACTGCTGCAGAGCCTCCCAACCACACATTGCCAGGAATTAAGATGGACGGGGCATACAAAGGCAGCACTCCTGGCAGGTACAGAGGCAGTGTCCCTATCTGCACATACCACCAAGGACAGTCAGGAAAAGGATATATGATCATTTTGAAGGCTCACAAATGGGTGGAGAAGGAAGGACACACAGGCAGGTAGGGAAGTGGGCAGACTGGAAGAAAGGCATGAGCAGGAGTCCTGGTGGTGGTTAGAAGAGGAGAGGGACCCCTAAGCGCTCTCTGTCCAGGGCACTCCTAAACCTGGAAGGGTCCTAAACTGGTTTGTGAATGAAGTTAGGATGTGAGGCAAAACTCCAAAAGTGCTCTATATAGAAAGAGTGCACTCTTCTTGAATACAACAAAAACCCAGTACAAATGGAACAGGCTGATCTGGGCCTACCTGCTTTCAGTGTGTTGAAGGAAGACATGGGTGCCCGAAGGACTGCATGCAGCATTTTGTGGTGAAGAGTTTTAGAAACCGTTATCAGAGTATGCACCAGGGGTAAGCCTCTGAAGATTCCCAAAGCCAGCAAAGTGTCTGCCACTCCCACATAAATGTAGAAGATGTAATAGGAACTAGTCTCTGTAACAATAACTGCATAGTTGTCAGGCTCATTCAAAGTAGCGTTCTGTGACTGGCTTGTATTTGTAGCAGGTGGAACAATACTTCTATAAAAAGCAATATAAAAACATGGTCACTGAATGTCTGCGTTAGTTCAATATGTCAAGCTGGAGAAGGAATCTCAATTTGAGTAATTAAGAAAAGTTTCCTTTTGGTGAAATGTAGCTAAGATAAAATCAGAATTCCCCATAAATGGCAAACATTATGTTGATTTTGAAGAAAAATCTTTTCGGTTCATGCTGTAACACTGTATTTTTATTTTAATTACACAAATGGTTTAAAATTGTTAAAGCTCAGCAATTCAACAGCACCATGCTAAGCAGAGTTACACCCTTCTAAACCCATTGATATCAATCTGTTTGAAGAATGCAACAGTGCTCATTTTTTTACTTTATACCCTAACTCCAGTGCCAGGCAGAATTACAATGACTTCTCCATGCACTTCATACTTCAGAGGCACAAGTACCCACTCCATACTTCAGAGGCACATGTTACTGCCCAGAGCTGTTCATACCACTAAAGAGAACAGGAAAGTGACAGAAGTTCCTTGAGTGCACTGATACACACCTGGCAGTCTAGACTGGGGCACCTACCTGTGCTCAGAAAACTAATTTAATGGTAAGAATGTGCTAAAATGTACTACTTATTTGTTGTACTTCATTTATACCCCACTTTTCTTCCCAATGGGGACCCAAAGCAGCTTACATCATTCTACTTTCTTACACTGTATTCTCACAACACCCCAGTGATGTAGATTAGACTGAGTCTGTGTGAGTGGCCCAAGGTCACAGAGAGCTTCCATGGCAGAGTGGGGATTAAGACCTGGATCTCCAAGACCCTAGTTCAATGGTTTAACTACTCCACCACACTGACTCTCAATAAAATTACAGAATGAAAAGCATCTTTAAGAAAGCTGTTCCACCAGGCCTATGGCTGAGGACAGTGACGGGTCCCATCTCTGATTGGCCTCATCCTCTCTCCCTCTCCCCTTCTTCTCCCCTCTCCTTTTAGATCAGACAGATTATACATCAGTCCCCCCTGAGTTTTTATGTCATCTTTTAATTATGTTGGTGGTTTACAGTATTATGTATTTTATTATATATTATTAGGGGGGTTATTTATGCACTAGAAATGTTAATATTGAATTGGTAAATGTTTTTATCAATGATGTTACCTGCTCTGAGTCTGGACACAGGGGACAGCAGGATATAAATCCATTAAATTAAATCAAAGTTGAATAGAACCACAATGTCATCCTTTAACAAGTTACATGATCCTTCAAAACCCATAAAAATCAACCTGTTGATTGCATTGTCCTCTGATCCTAGTTCTATTATATTATTCATTGGCTGTCTTATGCTTCATTTGAATTTTTTATGTTTTATATTCTTAAATTCTGTTATCTGCCTGGATAGCTCAGGCTAGTCTGATCTTCTCAGATCACGAAAGCTAAGCAGGGTTGGCCCTGGCAATTATTTGAATGGGAGACCATCTTAAAAAACCTGTGACTTGACACTGTAATAAGTCACTGCTGTGACTTGACAGCAAGTTTCTACCACCATCTGCCTTGAGATTCAGCTAGAAATGTGGGCAAGAAATAGAGTAAAGAATAAAATAAACTTTGCTTGGGACAGTTCTGTTACTGCTCTGTACAGAACCACTCTATTCAACCAAGCTTAAAGCCTTCCCCCAAGTTAATTGGCTTTTCTGCTGGAGGAAGAGTCACTTAAATTGGAGGAAGAGGCCTTAAAGTGGCTAAAGAAGGAGTGGTAGGATATAGGCCATAGTAAATAGCTAAGGCTAGCAAACATGATTTACTTGGAACTAATGCTAGTTGGCTACTGTGTGAGACAAGATGCAGGAGTAGATGGACAGCTGGCCTGACCCAGCAGGGGTCTTCTTCTTTTCTTAACCCATTGTACACCATGGAGCTACCTCATAGAATTGGCTGCACAAATGAAAAATACATCACGCTTGTCTAAACAGAAGAACCAAAGATCTTTGTAGTAACTGTGATAGAGTTTGTCATTTCTTCTATCAAAACCATCCCTGAAGTATCAATTAGCTTTTTAAAACATAGAATGGAGTAATAATTTTAATACTCACTGACTGATAAACCACAGCCCAACCAGAGATGCAACCACCTGGGAATAGGAAACATGCAGTTAATTTTCTTTAGTGTTGTCTTTAGTTCTTTCTAGGTCCCATCACCATTACTTGCTCATATGCCATTATTTACTGAGAGACTATGTAGAAAAGATGGAGTTCAAACCGATGAGAGGGCATGCTAGAGCATGAAATAAAGTGACAGTGCAGATTTTTAATGCAAATTCCCATGGACATATTTTAATCTACTAGACTCCTGTAAATGTTAAGAGACCTCCAACTGCTGAATTTGGTTACAATTAGTAGTTCATAATTTTATTATTGTTATCACATTGGTCGATTATGCCAATGATATTGTTTATGTTTTCTGACCTTCATGTTATCTTTTAGAGATTACTAACTTGCTTAGTCTCATTCACAGCAATGTTGTGAAACACTGTTCAGAACACTGACCTTTTCCCTCTGCTAAAGTATAGGAATAGAGTAGCCTCATCTGCTAATTTAATTAATACTAGCCTGATACCCGTGCTTCGCTATGGTATTTAAGTTCTGTAAATCCAATTATAACACTGATGATGTGAAATTTGAAATGTGACATTTGTTGTAGGAATTCTAATGGAGAAGATTGTAGTGTAAGAAATTAAGTGAGACATACGTACTTCCCCCCCCCCCTCTACTGAAGGACCTCTCTCTAGACAACATTGGTGGTTCTGCACTCAGGTGCCAGGATCACCAGGCTGCTTGATGAGCTCACTCTGGAGCAGGCCACATAGAACTGTCCATTTAAGAAGCAGTCGTCTCTTAAGTCAGCTCCTGCTACCTTCCACAAAAGTGATGGCCTCTCTACTTGTGTCCCTGGATTGTTTTGCTCATATAGAGACTGTGTTGTTCTGAGCACCTCAGGGTGATCTTGCTGGTACTTGGCCAGTGCAGCTCAGTGCACCACAGGAGTACTATGTGCAAATGTCTTTGCCACATTCCTAAGTTGTGTCCTCCTTGTAGCGTTGGTGTATCTGGCTCAACATTTTCCAGGAGCTTTCTTGGGGGCAGTAAGAGGTGAGAGGTGTGAGGGGGAGCTGGTGTGAGGGAGTGGTGATGTGGAGGACATGTCTTCAGGTTCATGAGGAAGGCACGCATCAAAATGGCTCCTAGAAATGTCCTTTACTATCTCCCCATAAACATTCATTAACTCAATTGCCGCGCTGGCTTCTTTGAAAAATGTCTATTCAGGAGTCTGGAATAGCTGATTTCTGTAACTGTCCTCAACTGTCTGCAGTCTCTTCTAACTGTGTTTTTACCTCAGAATATTGAGATCCACAGCTAAGCAATCAGAGGGAAGTGGGTGCAAGTAGGCAGGTTTTACCTCAGAACTCTGAACTACACAGTTGACCAACTGGGGGAGAGGGCAGGCAAGGAGGCAGCAGCCTAGCAGGCACATGGAAAATAATTGGGGGGACACATTTTGCCCCTTTTTTACCCCCTTAGGGGTTATGTTTCTCAGAAATATCTTCATGGGTGGGAGGTTGATGTCATGGTAGGAATGCACTCCCCTTATTTTGGGTTTCTTGGTGCAGGGGTTTGGCTTGGGCATTGGATTGCGGGGGAGGGCATACCCCCCTTTTTTTTTTTTACAAAAATGCTTCTCATAATGTTACATTTAAGAAGTGGGGCATAACTACTTATTCAAAACACCATCCGAGCAATCAGATATTAAGCAAGTGGGGTTTTTTTAATCCCCTTAAGGGGAATTTTCATTGGGTTTTTCACAAGACTACAAACTACAACTGAAAATATAGGAGGGGAAACGACATCTAAGGAAAAAGAAAAGAAACCTACTAACAACTAAAACCCCAAGAATGGGAGATCAATACATCAGCTTATCTCAGTGTTGGATATTAAGCAAGTTCATATGAACCGATTTTCTAGAACCCACATTGTGAGAAGTTAAATAATCTAATAAAGGAAACCAGTTTTCTACAAATTTGGGGTATATTTCCATTGTGGGTGGGAGTGTGGCTGAGCTGGGCCTGCTGGGGTGGCGTCCCTGATGGATTAAAGTACCGTGGATCTGCTTCTACACCTGACAGACACCCACCTGTCTGGTGTTGGGGGGGGGTTGTATTTAAAGGCATCGGGGAGGCTGGGCCAGCAGCAGGGCTAAGGCAATCCTGCTGAGCAAACCTCCCCGGTGGCTGTAAGTATCCCACCTCCTCTCCTACACCTGACAGGCAGCTGCCTGTCCAGTGTAGGAGGGGGAGGGGGAGGGGGAGGAGCATTAGAAGCCACTGTGGAGGTGGGGCTGGCAGGATCAATAAGGCATTACTGCTGGGGTGGACTCCCTCGTGGCTTTAAGCACCCTACAACCGCTGCTGCACCTGACAGACAACTGCCTGTTAGTTGTAGGAGGTGGGGGGAGTGTGTTGGAAGCCATCAGAGAGGCTGGGCCAGTAGCATCGCTAAGGTGATCCTGCTGGGGGGCAGGACTCAGGCAAAGCAGCCAGTGGATAGGGAGACCCTCTGAATGACAGATCAGAGAGCGAACTGATTTTGGAGCATGTGGAATGTTCTAGAGAAGTGCCACCACCATTCGTCTTTTATTTATAAGGGAGATAGATATAATTTTGGCTTTATACGTATAGTTCTATTGCTCAGTTCACAACACTGTAAAATACAGCTAGCATGATGCAACACAGTAGTCCTAATACGAACATTAGGTATGAATTTACAAAAATTGTAAATAAAAAAGTCATTTAGAACTACCAATCAGCAATGGCCCTAACATATGACATGCCTGTATTACCCTTGTAGCATTGTTATGCTATAGCTGTGGAAATTGCAATAATAGTGCTGCTTTCATTAGAGTTGCTATATAGGCTGTTCACATTAAAATAAATGTAACAAACACAATATTCTTACCTCCACCACAAAAATAACCACACACATAATTAATACAAAAATCAACTTTTTGTGTACAGTAATGTATCTGAAATATGTATTCCACGTAGTAACAGTAGTCGTGGTCTCAGCATCATCGAGGAAATATTCCTATCGATAAAATTAACAAGAACATAATTAATGACGTAACTTTGCTTGGCCTTGCTTAACCATAGTAGATTAATTCAGGTGGGGTGGCCGTGTTGCCTTGAAGCAGCAGAACAAAGTTTGAGTCCAGTGGCACCTTTAAGACCAACAAAGTTTTATTCTGGGTATAAGCTTTTGTGTGCATACACACTTCAAGTGTGCACACAAAAGCTTATACCCAGAATTAAACTTTGTTGGTCTTAAAGGTCCCACTGGACTCATAGTAGATCAGTGTTATTAGCACCTCATTCATATGAATAAGAGCTAACTCTGTCATTCAGGTGTAAATAAAATTTTATTATCATTTTCCAGATTTCTTCTAAAATGTTATGAACTCATTAAGTTCACATTCTAAAATATTTTCTAACATTTATTTATTGTAGTTGATTTCCATTTGTCTTGCATCTAACAAATGGGGTCTGGCTGACAAAAGATTATGCCACAATAACTTGGCCAATCTTTAAGATGCCACAATTCGTTGTTTAGTTATTTGAAAAGAAAACATTTCCAGACTAGCAAATTCTTGAGATTTCACCTCAATACTTCCTTGTCAAGATTTCTAATAAGTGGAAATTTGTTTGGTATTCATCCTGAATGATTCAATCCCTGGTTCAATTAAAGTGCTAATACTTTGGCTTAATTTGTGAATTGCCATGAACATTATCGTGCAAAGCAACCAGTTTTGACTATGTTCAAATATTGTTATCTGAAGCACAATCCAACTGAATAATAACAAATCATATACAAAGGTAACTGCTTCAACATATTAAGAAAAAATGTGATTTATATGTGATTATATCCTGCCTTTCTAGAGTCTTCTCAAACTGGCTATATTTGAAATGCACAATTCAAGGGAGATGTAATAGAAGAAGGTGTTACTAGGCACTCAGCAAAGAGAACCATGGTACATAGACATTTGTTACCAAAACAAATCTAGCCATAGTACTAGGAAGCACATACCTTTAAATCATCCTCATTAAGTTCTTCAGTTATTTCCACCACACTGTCCAGAGACAAGCGCCTGGCATAGACATCTATCTCAGAAGACTGGTGGACTAGTGACATTTTACGTACAGATACACTGCCCTTTTTGTAAAAGCTCTGAGCTGGGTGAACTGAGGTTCGGGTCATCAAGTTAAGCACGGACTGCCTTCTCTGTCCTGTGAATGTGGGGCCTGCATTAATTACATTGCTGCGTGGCAGAATTGCCTCGCCTTGTTCAGAGTCTGGTATCAAAGACAATCTTCTTTCTGTTGTTTCAACAGGAATTTCTTCTATACCATTGACCTGCAGAGGTGTTTTTTGCAAGAGAGAGAACTTCCGGCTGGAATTCATTGCATTCATAATGACAGAGTTCTTTCTCTTTTCAGTAAAATCTGATGTTTGTTTAAAGGAAGTTTTTTTATTTTGATTTTGTGAACCCATTCCATCATGGTCGATGGAAATCCGTCTTAGAGTTTCAGTAAGAATGGAGTTTCTTCTTTCCGCACTGAACTGATCGAAAGCATCAAATCCCATCAGTTCAGAACTGAAGTTGGGCCTCTGACCCTGAAGTTCAGGAAATGTTCCATAGAAATAGCAGCTGCCTTCATGCAAAATTAGTATCTTGTCTGCTATCTTTAAATGTTCCAGCTTTGAAGTGACAAGTATTCTAGTTTTGTTGACAATAAGCTTGCAAACACAGCTTCAAAAACAAAAAAAATAAAATTATTTAACAGTTTTTAAGAGCTTGGGTGATCATTTCTTTCCTTGTTCATTTCACTCATTCTGTGTAACTGTTCATAACAAATTGCTAGCACAGACTCAGCTGAAATCACAATCTCACAAATTCAAGGAGTATGAAAAGTCAGTAAACCTGGGCACTAAGAACTGTAATGGGTTATCTGATTATTATAACATAAACTTGCTTTGCTCATTTTCTAGAACACTGTTGTAGTGAGGACTTATCTATTCCTGCACCATGCTGCAGACCAAATTACCTTGAGCAAATTCACTCCTAAGTGTAAAAATATTCTAGTCTATTAAGGTGGTTTGTAGCTTCATCTATAGCATGACTACCACAAATAACATATTCTCTGTGGCTGTGTCCCTTTTTTCTAAGTTTGCTTTTTGAAGACTGCTAATAACCAAAGCAGACTGCAGAAAGTTCCATTGTGATTTCTCTAGACTGTGTGAATAATCAACAAAAATAGCAAATGAGGTTTAATGTAAACTCTCCTACAATTTCAACATTTCTTTCAGTGAATAGTTTGCTTTCCCTGCTTCTTTTTCTCCATGACTTTGAAATTAATTCCAAATCTAGTTTATATACTTCAAAGAATTCAAATGCTTGGGATTTATGTGATTTTAAATCATTTGTTGATGTGTTAGAAGGGTTTGTTTAAAAAACCCAAAGAGATATACTTTGATATTGCTGAAATAGTGCATTGTAGGGGTATTGTCGGAGACATGCATCATTTAGATTTTTTTCTCAGTTTTTATCTGGAAGGGGTGCATGCTTTTATTTATTTATTTATTTAATTTATATTCCACCCTCCCTGCCAGGGCAGGCTCAGGGCAGCTTACATCAATGGCACTTATAAAAAAATCATATTCACAAGCAAAAAAACTATCATAGAGAATTTTAACATACACTCCAATCCAGGAAGCACTGATGAAATATTACAGCAGTACAGAAAGAAACAGTACTTTAAATGTGATCACTTTATCAAGCCTGAACTCTCCCTAGAAGCTATAATTACTAAACTGAGGCTATTGTATTTTGGTCACATTATAAGACAAGACTAAATGGAAAAGACAATAATGCTAGGTACGGTTAAAGGCAGGAGCCAAAGATGAAGACCCAACATGAGATGCATTGATTCTATAAAGGAAACCATGGCTCTCAGTTTGAAAGACCTGAGCAAGGTTGTTATGATAGGGTGTTTTGAAGGTTATTAATTCATAGGGTCACCATAAATTAGAAGCAACTTGACGGCATTTAACACATACATGCACAATCACTTCATGGAGATAAAAACTTCAGTAACTAGGGAGAGAGCAACAACGCCTATGGAACATCACAAAACCAGCCACAGCCATCTCTTTTGCCACACTTGAATTCCATAAAGTAGTTCATAATGTTTAAGAGTAAGTTTACATGAAACAAATAAAAGTTTACAGTGTGTCATGAGGTGACCAATAAAAGAATAATTGAATCTCAGAATGAGGAGCCAGAATTGATTAGAAAGGACTGATTATCATTGTGGTTGTTTACAGTAGTCATGGAATGCTATGTATTTCACAATGCTTTGGTCCTAAACTAACTAAACTAAAATAACAAGTATTTATACATACATAACAACATCTGTATCTGAAAATATATTTCTTGAGCTGTGGAACTGTGTTACACAAACTGTTTTCTCTCCAACTAGCAGAAATAGCCTCTCTCAAATAAATAAGCAAATAGGTCAAAATGCACCATACCTTTCAAATATTTCTTTTTCTGTTAGCATATCTAAATAACCGAAAGGGGAATCCAAGAGATACAAATCAGCATCTTTATACACTGCTCTAAATGAAAGACATAGAAATAAAAAATTTCATTCAGTACACTCTGTAAACTGATGGCTTCGAGCATTTTCTCAGAAAAACTTTTTATTAGCTGTGATAGGGTTAAATTTAATTGTCACTCATATTACATTAAAACAATGATCTACACAAACCAGCTTATACTCATTCTCCTCCCTTCTTCCCCTGCCCTTCTTAAATGGAGAAGCCCAGTAAGAAACTATCTCTGGTTTCCTGTGATGTATCAATGCATGTGCATGTATGAAGACGTACATGCATCCAAGTGAACGAGAGTTATCAGGAACTGGTTTATAACTGGGACTCTCCATGTGAAAAAGAGAGGAGTGAGGTCAAAGTCCAAGGCCAGCAGAAAACCAGATTTACACACACCCACGCTTATAGTTGGTTAAAAGTGACCCATAAATGCAAACAATATCTACTGTTACAATCACACAGACTAATATAATCCACTATTAAACTTTAGGAGCAGTAGAAAAGATCTGTAACCTCAAATTTAGGTATGTTACTAATCTCACTGAGCTAGTCAAAGCAACACATGGTGCTTGGAGATCACATCAGGTAGCGTTGCCAACTCCAGGTTAGAAGATTTCTGGAGATTTGAGGGTGTATGGTGTGGAGACTGTATTGGGGAGGTACCTCAGTGAGGTATAATACTGTACAGCAGCTTCCAAAGCAGCCATTTTCTCTAGGCAAACTGGTTTTTGTCATCTGGAAACTAGCTATAATTCCTGAAGATCTCCAGGAAGTTGGCAACACTACATCCTCAACAACTAATTCTTTTTTTAATATTTTCTTTTTTTCTGGGTGTTGTGTCATTTCACGCTGCTCTGCTCTAAATATGAACAAACCATACATTAGCCTGAAGGGTGTGATAGTTGCAGGCTGATTTTCCAATGTGTACACAGGTGTTCCTTGCAGAGTTATGCCTTACTAAGTACCTTGAGTTTAATGAAATTTGAATGGTGTAACTCGGTTTAGGACTGCACTGTAAGAGACCCCTATGTAATGTGGAGGGATCATGAGAAAGCAGCCTACGGATCCATGTCCTGGTTTTCATAGATGAGGGAAGGTGGTTGGGCCAGACATTCACCCCCACAGCCCAGCATGTTTATCATCTTCAGGATCAGGCCCATCTAAAAATCATTCCCAGGACTATATATGATGTTCCATCTACACATTACAAAGTCCTCAAGTTTGCTGGGGAACAGCACAATGACTTTCTATCAGACACGTGATAGGAGTTTTGTGTCTCACAGATGCACACCATATCTTCTCTATTTGTAGATACAGCATGCAGGGAGAAGAGGTTGTAGCCCCAAGCTGTTTCTGCATCTTCAAACCATGCCATGGCGCCACTATTGGCTCTTGAGAAACTTACACACAGCCATGTATGTAACATGACTTTTACAATGGAGCTGCTCCATCAGGTTGTTGGAAAGATGTAAAAACTGCAGGGGGGGTACACATATACTTTGGGAAGCACAGAACTGCCCTTGCATGTGTGATACAAAGTCCTTGTGTTGTCCTCCGGAAAAATGAGAACTTTGTAATGTATAAGTGAAGTATAAGCTGCAGTGTCTTGGCTCAGAAAACATGAGAACAGTGTTGCAAGCAACACATTTGTCCCCACTGCTGGCTGCTCCTCTAAGTGCTGACACAATGCTAGGCTCAGCTTGTAGTGGAAGTGAGTGTGATAGGCGGGGTCAACTGTATTCTACACTTTTGCCAGCAGCAATACTTCAGGCACATCTACTCATACCATTAAAAATCATGAGCCTTTTTTATTAAGGCAAATTAGAAGTACAGGATTATTTCTGATGTCTGTCTTTAAATATCATCAGTTAGAAAATTCTGCATTTTTATACCCCAAAAATTATATTTGAAAAACATTGCAAGGAACAAGTCAGGCAATGGCCCCGGTCACACGGGCAGGAAACTGCAGAGGAGAAGCGTGGCTGTTTGCCCTGGGGCAAACTACTGCGCAGTTACGTGATCAGACCTCCTGTGGAGGTCCTGTGGAGTTACCGTGGAGGTTCCATGGCAAGGGAGAGGTGCCGATCACAGGACAAGCCGGCGCGCAACGAAGAAGCGCGCTCCGCGGCAAACTGTTTTTTATTTTTGTGTACATGACAAATGCGCATGCTTCGTTGGGTGCGCATGCGCATCCACAGAGACTTGGACAAAAAAACCCACCTTATTTGCAAGGGGACATGGGCGGGCGCCGGATGCCACCGGAAATGCGATCAGACGCCCGCCCTTGCCCCGCAGTTTCCGGAAACTAGTACCTCCAAGGTACTAGTTTTTTGCCACGCAGTTTCGGCTGGAAGCCTCGGTTGAGCCATGGGAGTGCTACGCTTCCCAGATGTGCTGGTGAGATCGCGCCCGGAAACTCCGCCTGTTTTCCGTCTCACTTGTGTGGCTTCTGTTACGTGTGACCGCAGCCAATGAGTGTTTTTTAGGTTAATCATAAGAAAACACTCAAGGCTCTGAATTCATAAAATAAAATGTTTCTTTCATGTGTAAACACATTTCCATTGAATATAATAAGAAATTATGCTCTGATAGCAAAGTGTAGAAATATGGGCCACATTTATTAAAAATGTAATAGGCTTAGTTCAACTCACCTGGCTAGGGAGATTCTTGCTCGCTGACCTCCACTGAGGGTGATTCCACCTTCACCCAAAACTGTGTCATCTTTCTCTTGAAACTTTGAAATATCCTGTTAAAATGTTATAAAAGAAAATATACATTTTCTGTTTTCAAAATCCACCAGGACTTCTCAGATTCTAGTCTAGTGAGCATTCCTACATCAGACAAAGGAAGCTTTGACTCTCAAAAGCTTATATCCCCAAAATCTTGTTGGCCTCTAAAGTGCTACTGGACTCAAATTCAGCTTTTCTACAGCAGTCCAACAGAGAAACACTCTGAAACCATCAAGAAAGCAGTAGCTTTGAACCAGTTTCTATAAGCATTTCAGCACATTAGAATATTTTGATTGTAGCAATATGCTTGTCAAAAGTGAAGATAGATAGCCCACTTTGAGCTAAACTTAGAGAGTTCAAAGACACACAGATAAGTGTGTAAACTTACTATCAGACAAAATTGAGAGATATCATTTAATTGACAGTGATAACTTATTTTCTACATCTATAGATCATAAGAGTTCTGTATTGCAGTTACCCATCCCAGTACTAAAGTACTAACTTGTAGATCTCTGTAAGCATGACAGAATTTCCAGTTGGAAAGTTAGCTTAAAATTGTGACAATGTGTGAAAACTTAATAATATTCCAATATCCTTAATATATTTATGAGCATTGTTTTATAATATTGTACTCATCATTTGGTTAACTGCTTTCTCTTCCATAGCCAAACTTTCTGCCTTCACCCTCTTTCACCATTTCTAAGCCAGAGATGATTCATCATCACTGTACCGTGAATGCTGTCCTCAATCTTTTGTCTTTTTATGTCAAATTGATTTTCTTAACTTAACTTTATCTCTATTAAATTCAATACCACATCAGCTTTCAGAAAAGTGTGTCTAATCATGAAGCCAGGACCTTTCTGCCAACAATCAATTGGAACTAGAAACAACAGTGTGCCAGTGTGGCACAATGGTTAGAATGTCAGACCAAGACCCTTAAGTCAACATATTGAAAGAGAAAGTAGTTTCTTGCATACTTCCGGCCTCTGCAACAAATCAGTGTCTTTATTATTTCAGTTTACAGCAAAGGCACTTTCTAAGTGTAGTGTTAAATATTTATCTTTGTTGGCAGCCAAGAGCTCTCAAATCAAGTAATGTTTACTTTAGGGGCGGCCACAAAGGATAGCTGTCTGAATTCTCTCAGACACTGGTTTTATGACAATTATTGTGCATGATCAAAAATGTCTTGAGTAAAAGCCATATTTATTCAATTACATAATTTAAAAACCAACAGCTAAAAAATGAACGTAGGTGGCCCAAAGGAAGCACCTAACGTGTACATGAGAATATTTGCTTTGAAAATGTGTTAGGTATGTCTGCAGTGACACTCCTTTGCAGTTTCTTTCAGGCATCTAGTATTTCACTGGACAGTTCTTATCAAAAAAGAGTCTTGAGTTACCCCAGTATCTATGCATGCCTCTTCAGTCCTCCCTCCACAGCTCACTGAAACTATTTCAAGTAGTTCTGCCTACAACTATAATATTTGCCCAAAAATCTGCCTTTAAAAATAAACTCAACAAATCTGATTACATATAGCACCAAATGTGGTTTATATGGGTTAATGAAATGGGTGGATAAGCTAATGGTGGCACCTATCCAGTTTTTCAATTGTCCTTCAACTAAACGATGATTACTGCAAAAATTCCGAAATGGTGGGCATAGGTTGAAGTACAGTCTATAATACCATCCTAAGCAGAGTTATGCCCTTCTAAATTCATTGAAAGCAATGGTCTTATAAGGGTGTAACTCTGCTTAGGATGGCATTGCTAACTGATTGTACACTGCTGTTCAAAGCTTGTGGTACCACTCTTCAATCTGGGTACAATCTTTACACGTATATAATCGATCTCATTTCAATATCCCCTTTCTCCAGAGAGCTCAGGGTATTGTATATGGCTCTCAGCTCTTAAATTAAATTAAATCCTCACAGTGTTGTAAGGTAAGTTAAGCTGAAAGTGACTTGCCCACAGTCATCCAGGGAGCTTCATGGCTAACATGGACTCCCTAGTACTACTCTGATATTCTAACCACTGTTCCCTCTAAGCTGAGTTAGTGTGAGCTAGCTCACAGTTTTTTAGCCTCTGGCTCACATATTTTTGTCTTAGCTCAGGAAGGGATGGCTCCAGAGCAAGCTAATCTATGCAGCAGCCAAATCACTCGCTCACAACTTTAATGCCAGTAGCTCACAAAGTAGGATCTTTGCTCACAAGACTCCACAGCTTAGAGGGAACATTGATTCTAACCACTTCACCACACTGAGTCTGCAAATAAACACCAAATATTGTTGATAAGTATTCGCATATTAATTCTGGTAGAACGAAAAGCTGATCACTGGTTAACAGCTTTAATAAACTGTACTCAAGGGTGAAAAGCACATATCTGTACTGTAAAATGGATACACTGCAAATGAATGTGCATACGAAAATTAAGATAAACTAAAGTTAAAGAAGGCCTATAGATGTGTAAGCTTTCCTGGACTCTTGAGTCACAGGTAGACATAATAAATACCAAGAAAATCACACCTTGACTTTGCTGGTCTAATTGTTTTTAATATTTTATTTATGTAATATTTTTATTATTTTATTAATGTTATGTTTTTATCTCCTATTTATTTTTATTTTACTCAACTTTCTGTTTTATTTGTTTAACTATCTTTGTGTAAGCCACCCTGAGCCTGCCTCAGCGGAGAGGGTGGGATATAAATTAAATAAATAAATAATACATAAATTTATTCTATAAAAAAAGTGTATTATATGGTTCTGGTATGCAGCTTCTGTGCTACCATAGCAAGTCTGCGAATGCCTTAAGAGTTGATTATTGTTAAAAGAGTGGAATGTTATGCAAATGTACTCAGTATTGTAAGCAAAAGTAAAAAAAAATGCTGCTTGAATTCTCAAGACAACTCCCAGCACTGAAGGTGTTTACATGTTAAATGTTACCTGAAAGCACATATTTCAACAACGTTGTTGTTGATTCAAAAGAACACTAGGATTTATTATTGACAGTGCCATCCTAAGCAGAGTTACACCTTCTCCTTAAAAGGGCATAACTTTGCTTTGGATGGCATTGTAAATTATTTGCCTGATGAAGTACAACTGTATACAAATGAAGGTATTAATTACACCTGTACAGCAAATTTCGAGTCCAGTGGCACCTTTAAGACCAACAAAGGTTTATTCAAATATGAGCTTTTGTGTACACGCACACTTTATCAAATACGTTAGAATGGCAGGCAAGGTTCAAACTTATAGCCAGAGAATGAACACCAAATTAACATGCAACAAGATGATGATCAAGATATGCAAAATGACACTAAATAACAAGTTAAGGTTATAGGGTCAACAGTTGTAAAGCAATAAATATGTGGTTTATTGCTTTACAACTGTTGACCCTATAACCTTAACTTGTTATTTAGTGTCACTTTGCATACCTTGATCATCTTGTTGCATGTTAATTTGGTGTTCATTCTCTGGCTATAAGTTTGAACCGTGTCTGCCATTCTAACGTATTTGATCAAGTGTGCGTGTACACGAAAGCTCATACCTTAAATATACCTTTGTTGGTCTTAAAGGTGCCACTGGACTCTAAATTTGTCATACTGCTTCAGACCAACACAGCTGACCAACTGAATCTATCTTAATTACACCTGGTCAATAGTATCTGAATGAAAAAAAGAACAATATAAAATAAATTTAAATGCAAAAAAATGCTATCACTATAATTAAAATGCAGCTCTTTCATTTTTCAGTCCAAATTAACATTAAATATAAATACTTTAAATAAAATAAATAATAATTAAAGATTAATGAAACTGTAACTAAAGTTGCTGGGTTTGGCTTTGAAAGGCTACCTGTATAATTGCACAGAAGGGGAAAATCCCACCTACTGCCATTTCTACCATCTTTACCATTCTATTATTTTACAGCAGACAAGTGTAGTAATAAATTGTAAAGAACATACAGAATTATATGAAAGGAAACCCTATACTAGAAAGCAATAACTGAAAATACCAGTATACCAGTATAGTTAGTGAAGTTGTTTTATACTGTCCTTCCTGGATTGCCATGCTCAGAAAGGCTGGAATTCAGTAAGAGAACTTCAATTGGATAGCCATGTGCTATGACAACATATGGTTGGAATGAGGGAACATGTACCTGGGTCATCACCTTCCTCTACATATGCCAGTGATGCTACAGCAGTAGGGAGCTCACCTTCCTTGGAACCTGGCCAAGGACATATTGACATGAAGCTTGACACAGACCAAAAAGAGCCAGAGCCTACTGTGGCATCAGCCCTAATGCATGATTTGGGTGAGCCATGTCATACTGGTCCCCAGTATCTTCAAGAATGCATGAGCAAGGAATGAAGTGTGCAGTGTATTGACTAGGGGTGTGCAAACCACCACCACCACCCCCGGTATTTTTCAGGTTCAGGAATGTTGAACCCCAAAAAATATTGGTATTTTCTGATATTCCTGAATCCCAAAACCAGTATGGTATTCGGATTTGGGAAATATTTGGTAAATCCAATAAACCCATTATAGTCAGTGGTCCCCATAAGGTATAAGGGAGAACTGAGCTGCAAGAGGAGCCAGCCCAGTATTGGCCGGTTCAGTGGGAGCTGAGAGCTCTGTGCCACATCATGGGGCTGGCTCCTCCTGCAGCTCAGTTTAAACCAAGAGAAGCCAGCCGCAGTGGAGGCAACATGGAGCTCTCCGCTCCCACTGCAATGGCTGGTCCTAGGCTGGCTCCTCTTGCAGCTCAGTTTAAACCGAGCTACAAGAGGAACCCAGTGATATAGCTGAATATACCTGAATAATAGCCAGAAAAAAATGGCTTTTATTCAGGCTCAGCTATATTGGTAGCCAATTGGATTCTTTTATCTGTATTCATCTTAAATAATATCTGGAAAATACTAGTAAAGTATTTTATGGGTATTTTCTTTCAGCTCGCTTTATGCCAAATACACACCCCTGGTATTCACCCTCTTGGCTTAGCATATTAAGAAGCACTAGAATTCAGCCTCTTAGTAACAAGACTTTCATTTTCCTGGTCCAGTGCAGTTTGGCTCTTGCTATCAGCCAGGTCAGTTCAATGTTTCCTCCAGATACACAATAAAAACCTTGTTGGTTTTGAAAATTCTGTATGGTTTACCTGAAAGGCCAAGTGTGGTGTCAGCTAGGCTGCTGCCATAGCTGGTGTAGGCGGGAGGTGATGGATGGTATGTTGCTGTAATGGAATCTTAACTTTCGTTTCTTCCGGGCTCATCTTATCTGCTAGCCTAGGCCGGTGACCTTGGTACCTTGTTGCTGCTTTCTTTGAGAACTGGGCAGGTTAGGTTAGGCAGGCTTTTGCTATTTCCCTGATTGGCCCAGGTCCATCGGGGGACTCCTTTGAATTATGTATAACTCCCCGTTGCCCACACTTGCAATCAGTTCTAACACAGAATGTATGCACAGATGACCTGCCTTTACAGTACTCAATAAACTTCACTCTTTTGAATGGGAGTTGTTGGGAACTGATTGCTGCAGGACTCTGACAGTTGGCACTATAAAAACAGGGGAAGGGGAGATGGAAGGAGGCTGGCTGGAGTAAGAAGGCACAGGAGCAGAAAGAAAAGCTAAGCCCACCAGGAGGAAAAGGGGCAAGAGAAAGAGGAAGTCAGAGAGGGAGAAGAATTATCTCAGGGAGAATCCTAAGAAAAGAGGCAGGCTGCAGTATTGTGGCTCTTCTCCTTTGTAATGTATGGTAGCCCTGAGGTGTGTGAAGATAACCACACCTTCCAGTACCGGGTGCAGACAACTGAAAATAAAAACCATCTGTGCAAGGAAGCAGTGATCAGGCTAGTGCTTTCAAGATCCCATGGGCCCCAACCAGGATGTTTCCTTGCTCCTAGAGGGCATCATACCTCCTCTTAACAGAAGTCATAGGGTTCAATGAGATGACACTAGAAGAGGAGCTGTGAACAACCTGGTAATGAAGACTGGCCAGAATGAGAAAAGCCAGCAGAGCCTGTATATTATAGATCAGAACAAAAAAAAAAAGTCTATTTATTAAGGAATAGGTAAAGTGAGTAGTTCAAGACCCGGGTGCCGCAAGACGGGGTGAGCTCCTGTCTCTAGTTCCAGCTCCTGCCAACCTAGCAGTTCGAAAGCAAGAAATTGCAAGTAGATAAATAGGTACCACTTCGGTGGGAAGGTAACAGCGTTCCGTGCGCCTTGGTGTTTAGTCATGCTGGCCACATGACCATGGAAACGTCTTCGGACAGCGCTGGCTCTTCGGCTTTGAAACGGAGATGAGCACCGCAACCCTAGAGTCGGATTCGACTGGCTTTCGAGCAAGGGAACCTTTACCTTTACTAAAGTGAGTCAAGGTTGATCAGGAGAACCAGTGACAGAAAAATAAATCAGTCAGTAAAGGAGAAAAGATTAATTAGATGAGAAGCTGAAATTTATAAGCCAGTTTTATGTACATGTTTCTTAACTTCTGAATTGGTGCCACTGAATGTCAGGTCTTTGCAGGCCTTCTCTGAGTTGTTTTAGAGAGAAATTGTATCTTTAGCGCACTGACATTAGATCCCAGGTCTGTATGATCTATATTCTATCTATATATTATTTTTGGGTATTTCTACTCTTGAGAAACATTTTTATGACAAAGACAATGCTTAAAGACTTTATTCATTGTGAATGTCAGTATAGTAGACCCTGAAGAAATCCCAGTTACCTTAAAAACAGAATTTATTGCAAAGAAAACAGCATATCCTTGACACATTCCTGGTTCTATCTAAACTATTTTTTTGAATAAGAAGTATTGCCAGGGAGGTTTTTCTACACACTAAATCAGAATCTAATAAGTAAAGTGTTCCACCCTGTAGATTGTGCTTGGTACTGTCCTATAAAGAGAAATTCTGATATCTCAGACCTAGAAAGTTATGTAAGTTATTTGCTTGCTCTTTCCATCTATGCATACCTCACACACCTCCTGTAATTCCTCAAGTGAATTTTAATGATAAATATTTTGGGAATGAATTATATAACATTCAGAGAGACAGAACCAATTAACAAACAAGCTTCTTAACCCAAAGATGCCTGACTGAGGCTTAAACAGGACAAGTGATGGTTTATTTTTAATCTCCACTGGGAATAGATGCAAAAAGACAAGACACTATGCAGTCTCCTGGCTCAAACAAATCACTTTGTCTCATTGGAAAGCACTAGCCTCTATACAAATAAAAAAATTCTCAAAACAGGCCCACCACAACTAATAATGAGAGTTCTGCAGACAAAGGGAAACCTCCAGGCTTGCAGAAAAATCTAAAATGTTAAAAGAAAACCATTTTTGGTGTTTAAAAGACCCCTCAAACTGACCAATAACATTTGCAAGCACTGAAAAAAATGGCCAAAGTTTCCACATCAACCACAATGCACTCTGAGGCATATTTTGCATGGGGTCTCATGTGAGAAGAACCACCTTGGACAGGGAGAAGTCAGTGATATGCAAGTGTGTGGGGGTGACAGTGGTGTAGAGGAAGTGAGGAGGAAATGATGAGCAGGCAGAGAAAGGCAAAGGGAATGTAAGAGGCAAAATGGAGTTTCTTCTCCATGATTCCTCATGAGTCCCCACTTGTACATAATCTATAGGCATGCAGATGATAAATATGCCAGAAGAAAATAACTGTTCACATGACAGGGTTCTTGAATGAGCAGGCTGGCTTTAGAGGTGGAAAATCATGGAAGACTGTAGTGCAGCTTTTATGAGCAGGGATATCCCATTCAAACTTGTATACACACATGGAAGCTGAGTTCAGATTTTCCATGTGTTCCATACTCTGTTGTTACGTGGTAATGAGAGTAGATCATTCATTGATATCTGCTAAACATACAAGAAAGCCAGTAAAGGTAACGTATCAACCACATCCTAGTGGTTGTAAAATATTTCTTGTGTACACTTAGTGTTTCAGAGCTATACATGCAGCTTAGCAAATGGCAGCAAATGAAGACTGCTGACAACTGCATTATCTTCTTAACCTCTAATGGTACTGAACATTCAAAAATAACTATATGGACATTAAATATTATTATGTGAATTTTATAGTATTTGTGCTGTATGGTTCAGAAATACTGAACAGTAACATTCTATCACTGAAATTATTTATTAGAAATATTATATACCTGCACTCTTACTGAAGCCCATGGGCTGAGTAGGGTGTTACTCTGCTTAGGACAGTACTATTAGTATGTTTGATCCTAATATGGATTCCACTAATAGCAGCTAAAAACCATAACACAATTTTTTAAAATCACAAAAAGATGCCAACGTAAACCACTGGCACAAGGCACATCCCACCAGTGCAGAGCCCTTCGTGCTGGCATGGCATACCATCAGTACTCTTAACTGAGTAGGGGAATAGGGTACAATTGACTTATAGGACCAGGATACCATGGGCTTGATAAACTTCTGTTTGCTTATACTGTATGTTTTTTTTAACTGGAATGCTTGGTAACTGGTTGTGGGGTCTGCATCCAGTCATGGAAAGCTATGTCCTAAAACACAGATATCTGGTTCTCTGCAATTTGCAGACTGTGATTTTTTTTCAAAGAGCCTAATATATCTCAGAAAATGTTCTTGCATAGATATTACCATATATCTATTTTATCCTATTTTGACTGGCTGTGGATCATACAACTATTTTTTTCAAATCTTTGTTTAACAAGCCAAGCTTCTTTTTTCAGCCAACTTGTGACACATGCATATATGATCCCTAGATCTTAATTGTGCTCATGAATATGGGTTGGCCTGCAATCTGAAAATGTTGAACCAACCACAAGCCTACAAATGGCAATGAGAACAGAGTGGGAAATAATAGTTAACTTCAAAAAAGAAAGAGTCTTTTCGAGACAGGAAGCCTTTCTAAAGGGAAAGCCTGAGTCATGAAAAGGCATCTCAGTTTTCTGAATTGTCCCTTCTTGTACACGTCTGTGTTTGGTTATACTACAACTATTGACTGCTGTGATCTGCATAAACAAAAATATTTAAAACTGACCTCTTCTAATTGACAGGCTTTGATGACACTCTTGTATCGGAATTCATCATAGGAAACCCCAAAGATTATGTTTTCTTTAATTGTTCCAGGCATTATCCAGGATACTTGAGGACAAAAGGAAATCCTCCCACTGTGCTTGACTTTACCTTCCAAAGGCTCCAGTTCTCCCATGATCAACATCAGCAGAGAAGTCTATAAATTGAAATGACTAAAATCAATCAACATTATCCAAAGAAATCTTTACAACACCTGCAACAGGCTTATCAGTCATGATTATTTTCCAATTACTACTATCATATTCTGTGAATTTGATTCAACCAAAGTTATGCAGTTTAAGTCTAATGAACAAATATAAGCAGGTACTTAGAATTCTCCATAGGAGAATCAGAGACCTTTAAAACTGATTGACTTTGACAGGACTGTATACCCAGTAAATGTTCACAGCACAAAATCACGATGGATGGATATCACCTAATACCTTGTATTCCTACTTGTGACACAGGCACTTTTACAGGTTTTTACTTAGAACCACACAATCATAGTATCACAGAGTTGGAAGGGGCCATACAAGCCATCTAGTCCAACCCCCTGCTCAATGCAGGATCAAACTAGAGCATCCCTGACAAATGTTTGTCCAGCCACTGCTTAAAGACTGCCAATGAGGGGGAGCTCACCACCTCTCTAGGCAACTAATTCCACTGTTGCACAACTCTTACTGTAAAAACGTTTTTCCTAATATCCAGCCTGTACCTTCCCACCCTTAATTTAAACCCATTATTGTGAGTCCAATCCTCTGCTGTCAACAGGAACAGCTCCTTGCACTCCTCTAAGTGACAACCAAATACTTCAAGAGAGTAATCATGTCCCCCCTCAACCTCCTCTTCTCCAGACTAAACATTCCCAAGTCCCTCAGCCTTTCTTCCTAGGGCTTGGTCTCCAGGCCCCTAATCATCCTTGTCGCTCTCCTCTATACCCACTCCACTCTGTCCATATTCTTTTTGAAGTGGGGTCACCAGAACTGTACACAATACTCCAGGTGCAGCCTGACCGATGCAGTGTACAGTGGGATTATTACATCTTGTAATTTTGATGTTATGCCTCTTTTGATACACCCCAAGATTGCATTAGCCTTTTTTGTTTCCGCATCACACTGGCTGCTCAAATTTAACTTATGGTCCACCCATAGTCCAAGATCTTGTTCACACACACTGCTACCCAGAAGTGTATCCCCCATCCAGTATGCAGGTTCCTCATTTTTGTTACCCAGATGTAGAACTCAGCACTTATCCTTGTTAAATCACATCTTGTTCACATCCACCCACTTTTCCAGTGTGTTCAGATCTCAAGGAATTCTATCTCTATCTTCTGGTGTGTTTGCTGCTCCACCCAATTTGGTGTCATCAACAATTTAATGAGTAGCTCCTCCACCGTCATCCATATCATTTATAAAAATATTGAAAAATACGAGGCCCAGAACTGAGCCCTGTGGCACCCCACTGGACAATCTCCCTCCATTCAGATGAAATGCCATTGACAACTACTCTTGGAGTGCAGTTCCCCAACCAGTTCCCTATCCACCTAACTATCCTAGAGTCCAGTCCACAGTCCTCTACTTATTAAAGAGGAATTAGGTATTGGGTTTAAAGTACATCCGTAAATTTAAAATAACATCCTTCTGCCATTTTATACTAATGCCTAAATCATTGCATAATAACAGGAACTGTAACCAACCTATAACTGTTCTTACTTCATCATAGCAATACCACAGTTCTTCTTATTCACCATAGTAATACCACAAGCATCAGCATCAGTTGTAGAGAGTGCAGAATCCTCCCCAAAACAATCAGGTGAACTATACCTTATGCTTATTAATGGGATCACCCTAAAACAGATGGTTGTTATCCTATAATGCTGAATGCACCTAAGAGAAATAGTGACAAGGGGACCAGAGGAAGTCTTCCAATATGACTAATTCATCCTCTAATCAGAGACATACATAAGACTCCTTCAGAGTATTTTGGAACTTAGTAGCTTTAATTTCTATATGCCTGAAATACAATGTGGAATGAAAAAATGATAAAAGATTTAAAGCAAGTGTCATAAATTCATGAGGTCATATGAAATATTGTTAATATCAGTGGAATGCAATTCATATCAATCAGTTTGACAGCAGAGACTGATAGGTGCACAGTGGTACATTCCTTCTAAAACAGGTCAAAATTCATAATGATGAAACATAGGCATGAGAAGCATTTGCCAGCTGATGCTACACCCAGCCCAGATACTGGCTTCTTCAGAGCAAACCTTAATGTGTCTATGGCCTAGTTAGATACAGGAGGTAACTGAATTATAAATTCCGGGGTACCTGAATTACAAACCCAGAGCTATGGCTATCTGTGCAGCGTTGAAAAGTGTTATTTCTTTGGGCATGCATTTAATAAATCTTATTGGTTCAATATGATATTTCCCTCTGTAAACCTAGGAGAAAGGCATAGCCAGTAATTCATACTCAGCTGTTCAGATAGCTACTGATTGCAACTTCCGATCTCACTTACCATAATTTCAAAATTAATCAGTAACAAGCAGAAACTGTATGGCATTTATTAGTCATTGAAAACTTGAGTAATATCAGGAAATATCATATACGTTGTCAAGAGTACTGTAAATCAACTTGTTACCCTGTCCTCTTTTCTAAGCCGAGAAGGCCTTGAGAGATAGTAAAATATTTATATAAATATCTTTAATTGCCACCTCCCAACAAAGATGCTATCAGGGACTCCAGTGACACAGCTGGGAACTTTTGAAGCAGAGGTTGAGCCCTAGACAGGCCTGTAGCTACAGTGGGGCATTTTGGGGCTTGGTCCCCTGACTTCCTGCCACGGCACCCCCCAACTTCCATCTAGCCCCCAGGCCTCCTGGCTCTCTGGGCCACCCAGAAGACTCCCAACTCTCTGGGCCACCTGAAGGACTCCCAACCACCACCCCTTCCCCAAGCGTGGCTTGCTTCCCCATGTAGTCAAGCAGAGTGCAAACGCTAAAAAAGTGAGCTTTTAAAATTTTATTTTTTTTTATTTTTTTATTTTGTGACGTCAATGCCCTTGACTTATTTAAAGGCCCCCTGAATTACAAAATCCTGGCTATAGGCCTGGCCTGATGAGGAGGTTATGTCTTGAAAGCCCAAGATGAGTGGAAACAGTGTGTACATTACATCTTTCATGTGAAATCGCTGCTTTTAGTTAAGTTAAAAAGTGAAGGGTGCTACATTCCCCAATTTTGGTTCTAGAAAAAACATATCTTTGACTACCTTGCCTGCTCCAGTAGAACCAGCCACAGCTAATAGTTCTCCCTTTTCAATTTTGAGGTTGATATCTTTAAGGACAGGAGTAAAATGAAGTGGGAAGTTACTGAAGAATAGACCATCATCATTACTGGATATGCTTGTATTATGATGATACTCCTGTTTTGCTTTTGTAAAGAGCTCCCCAGTCCCCTACAAAACAAAACAAAACACCCAAAATTAAACAGCTATAGTAGACCTACTATCTACATTACTATGAAATGCCAAACAGCAACATATACAACTTCTTCTAACATTAGTTTTCATTTGTTTGTTTGTTCGTTTGTTGATTTCTAGTCCACCTTCCCTGCACAGCAGGGCTCAGGGCAGATTACAGCAATAATTATGAACAATCATTATGCAATAATTAAAACCATTAAAATAGGACAATAAATTAAACATATTACAACAAGATAGCGATCAATACAATTCATAAAATCCCTGAATTAACTATCTGTATAGGTGTTCAATAGGATCAAAAACCTGAGCAAGTGGGCCAGTCGCAACCCAGCAAGTAAACAGTGCTAGGCAAAGGAGGGGAGGATGCTGTCATAAGAACATAAGAAACGCCAATGTTGGATCAGGCCAAAGGCCCATCCAGTCCAACACTCTGTATCACACAGTGGCCAGAAATACCAGTGCCATCAGGAGGTCCACCAATGGGGCCAGGTTAGATATTAGACATCCACCACCTCAACCATATACATGTACCTATATTATTAACACACTTAATATAATTGCAGTTTTGTAGTTACTTTTTATTTTTTTACTATTGACTTTGCTTTGAATACTAATAGTTTGAGAACAATTAACGTATGTTCACCAAGTGATGTCTTTGAGTTCCTCGTACAAATACTTCACTTTATGTATATCTATTACCCAATGTCAACTAAGACCCTAGGATAGTCTATTGTAAACTAGTAATATCTTTAATTTCTAAATGCTGTTTGCAGCATTTGAATATTCTGATGGAAAATTTGATAAAGGGTTACTACTTCTTCTACTGGCAGAAAAGCTGTTAATTTAAGAGTCATGCAGAGACACAGGCATACATTGTTGTGTACAAACAATAGGCATGACATTTAGAAAAGTGGCTTAATTTATACTGAATATCATTTTGGAGTATTTGCAGGCAATATATGGGATGCTGGTTATTATGATTTTTAAAATATCTTAATCTACATTTACTGTTTATCCTATAAAAAGGGTTCTTTGATCTGAAACACCTTCAAGTATGAATTAATCGAGCACACATAATAACCCCCCATAATACTCTGCAGTATAGACGTTTGTGCATGACAAATCACTAACTGTACAGTTAAATTGACTGTGTAGAGTTTGTGGGTAGCAATAAAATTAAGAAGTGGAAATCACAGGTTCTTCAGTCTCCTCTGGGCTAACTTGCTTTTCATCTTAGAGGCATTATTTGCTATCAGTTGATACAAAATTCTCAGAACTATTTCCCTACCATCAAAGACAGTTGCTGCTGTGAAGAGGTAAGAATCCCACAGAGACTAAAGCCCTTTTCAGAAATTATCTCCCTGCATGCCAGGAACTCAGCAACCATATATGTTGGGAGTGCATACTACCCTTGATGGTCCCAGTATGTGTAGCTGCCACATCATCTAAGCATACGTGACAGACATAATTTGCACTGGAAAGTCCAGTAGTCAGTTTGCTCTTACTGAAGCTGTACATGCATGCATGCATGCAAAATACATGTGCATGTTACCCGTATTCAAACAACATAGTAATCATGCATATTCAGAGGCTCTACACAGAGTTGTTGATCTGCTGGTATGCATGGATGCAATATCTGAAAAAGTCTTAAGAACTACTTGTAAGTGAGCAAATTTCCCTGTTAAATGGTGTATCATTTTGCATCAACACTGCAAAAAAAGGGGAGGGAGACGAAAAATTCACTTATCTTGTACACTGATTGTGTTTCCTGCAGAAGAGACAAATCAGTGGATGCTGGCCCATTAGCGGGAATTAGGGTTGCCAGGTCAGCTGCTATGGCAGCAGACCTCTGGCTGGCAACCCTCACTTCCTGCCACCACAGTTGGCTGGTGGGAAAAAATATCTTTTAAAAAATGCTGGCTCAATGGCATGTCAGTGCCAGGTAAAATCTGGAAGTGATGCCATGCTGGAAACATCACACTGGCAACTCTATGGCATGATATCACTTTTGGGTTTCCCCTGGGAATGATGTCACACAGTCATGTTGACAGCATCCCCCCCTATCCCAGCTAGGCTTGCCAGTTTTGGGGGGCTTCAGCCCACCACCCGCCAGCTAGCCTGCAGGGTAAACCCTGTCCCCAAACAGCAACATCCCCATGTGATTTCCCCATGATGACATCACCCAGAAGTGACGTCATCACACTGGGAACGCCATGCGGGGATGCTCTGGTTTGAGGGCAAAACTCTATGGTTTTAAGCCAGTTTTACCATAGAGTTTTGCCCTCGAACCAGAGACTTCCTGGAACTCCCCCCAAATCTTTCTGCCAGAGCAATGAGAAGCCCTAGCAACCCTAATCCCAGCCTGCCTGTCTGCCAGGAGTACTGGGCTGTGAGCACAATCAAACACAGCACTTCAAGCAAGTTGCTCTCCTCAGAGGCAGAAGGGCTTTTCTTCTCTTTTTAAGGCCTGTTGATATTACATTAGTTCTTATGCCTTATCTGAGTCTCTGACAGATCAATGGATCCATAATCACCTGAATCCATCAACAAGGCCAAGGGGAAGAAAAAATGGACCAGTTAGGGACTCCCTTAGATGATGAAATTTGATGACTGCCAAGTATGAAGTAGCATACTGTTTCTTTAAAGCCTTTGTTTCTCCTCCTCTTTGCCATTCAGAATTGGGCCTATGCATCAGAATTAATCCAGGGTGGTTTTTATACATGCCCGTATATACATGTAGACATGGAGATCAGCTCCTTATAACTGAGGAGGCAGCCATTTTCTGTTAGTAAGATGGGGAAGCCTGGAGAGGAGGATTCACATAGGCATGTTTCTCACAATGAAACCTTGCTGCAGCTGCAGAATGAAGAGATAAGCTTCCTTCTTGATGTGAGGGGAGAAAATATTATCCTCCCAATATTTCCTCAGTCTGAGAAATTGAAAAAGAAGGGTTATAGAAAGTAACCTTATAAGGAAAAATGCTGGAGCTTCCCCCACCCCCCAATATAAATATTTATATTGGGGGTGGCCAAATGAAACCAGATATTTCAGGCTGCTATTTCATACAGGCTTACTTCCTAATGACTACATGGCTTGCTTCTGTATGCATACACCATTAAACTAAACGCACTCAATCATTTTGATACCGGTACTTGTGAAAAACATTACCTCTAGAAAAGGAAGGTGTTAGAATTCCTGTAAGTCTCATTTCTGAAACCAGCAATCCTTAGTCTGGTTTGGGCAGGTTGTATGTCATTAATTAAGTGGTGAGGGTATGCATTTGTCTTCTCCATGTGGCCAAAGGCCTCCTTTCTTAATCTTGCTTTACAATATGGAAAATGAGTTTTTGAACTAGGGATTTGGAATGTTGATCAAATTGAGACCTGCAGTGCTAATTTCCTTCTTTTTTCTCTTCAGCCTTACTTCAGCCTAGTCTGCTGAGAAATGAGTTTTAGAATGAGGGCATATGGAAGGATTTATTTCATGTTGCAGAGGGAAAGGATGGATTAAGTTAACACCTGCATAGAGATTAGTGTTACCCTTTTCTACAATTGGACAATGTTTCTGGAATTTCTTCTAAATACTGTTCATCTTCTGCAAGGGAAGAGAATGGGGGAAATGAGAATCAGTTGGTTCTGCCTAAGGCTGATTCTAGCTCTGCCTAACACTGATCAGTTGTTCTCTGCCCCACCAGCCCCAGTGGGTAGCAACCACCACTGACAAATTGGTAAAATCCTGAAGAATCTCAGGAGTAATTTGGAATTATTCAAGATAGGCACAACATCTTCCCTCCATTCTGTCCTTATACTACAGGTAACTTTTTGCCTTTGTCATTGCCTGTATTGTGTATTGGGTTGCTTGCTTGCCATTACCTGTACCTTTAATAATTATACAAGACAAAAGGATTCAACATGTAAATCTTCATCTATCTTGAAAATGAACAATTGGAAAAACCTCATTTTTAAATAGTTACGGAGCTCTGCAGAAGAATAAAATTAGTAATGTCTCTATGCCTAACTATGGGAAACTGTCACACTGTACAACCAAGAATGAAGACAAATCAAGTAAGATTACACTATTACCTCATCCCAGAAGGCTGTCACTTTATCCAGTTCAAGCCCTGTAGTTGTTAAATTATATTCCAGTGTTTTATATTCTTCCTTTTGCAAGAAATCCTGTGAATTCAATTACAGTAGGCTTTATAAAAAAAATATAACACAATATGCTGAACTTTGCCACAACCATTTTTAATGCACTTAAAAAATTGGCCCAAATTAATCTCAGGGATTTTAAGACAAAGAGTGTTTAATGGATACCAGTGAAAGTGCATCTTGAAAACTAGCCTTTTGCCTGATACAGGCCCCTGCCACACGGGACGGCTGAAACGCGGCTACTCAGAGCCACTCCAAACTTGAGACGCCGCGGCGGGATCCCACGGATCGCTCCCCGGCACGATCAGATGCTGGGGAGGAAAAGTCCGATGGGAGGGGGAGGCTGCCGAACTGCACATGCTCGAGCATGCGCAGTACGGCCAGGGGCCGGGATGCGGTGGCGCAAGGACGCGCCGCCGATCCCACAGCCCAGCTCGAGGCGCTCCAATGGATGCAACCACCTAGATAGGTGGTTCTTTTTTACGGCGCGGTATCGGCATTTGGGACGGATCAGGGACGGAGACGGCACGCTCCCCAGGTGTTGAGGTGGGATCGCGCCCGTTTGCTCCGCCCCCGTTCCGTCCCGCTCCCGGCCCAAATGGGCTCGTATGAACAGGGCCACAGTAAATGCTGCCATTTTTGTATGGGGGCAATTTCAGATGAAGGCTTCCTATATGACAGTGAGGTGCCAATGTAATCAAACCTATCTCATACCCAAGCACATATGAAAGAGCCCTAACACAGCCTTTTCTAATTTTCCTTTACACATGATTATTAAAAACTACCATCCAAGAATTCAAACTTCTAAACGCAATAACGAATCTAAATGTTCAGAAGCTGACATAGTACAGTCATCTCTTCTGATTTCACTACATCCGAATCCCACTTGTTTGCATGGAAGCTTCTTTATATCAGACTTTGGCCCTGTATATAAAGCTTACACATGAGAAAGACAGTACAAAGCTAGAAAAGTCCTATTTGAATTTTTCACATTACAGGAACGTTGATGTAAAAGCGCATTAAAACAAACTATTCCTCCATGCATATGATGGTATGAGGTTGTGAGGGCTGTACTAGTACTTGCTCGAAAGCCAGTCGGATGCAGTACTCATCTCAGTTTCAAAGCTGAAGAGCCAGTGCTGTTTCCATGGTCATGTGGCCGGCATGACTAGACGCCAAAGCACACGGAACACTGTTACCTTCCCACCTAAGCAGTACCTATTTATCTACTTGCAATTTCTTGCTTTCAAACTGATAGGCTGGCAGGAGCTGGGACCAGAGATGGGAGTTCACTCCATCATGTGGCACTTGGGTCTCGAACTGCTGAGCTACCAACCTTCCGGTCTGCAGTTCAGGTGTCTTAAACACTTGAGCCACCGCAGCCCTTTGAGGACTGTACTACCCTCCACTAAATTTGTACCAATTTTATGGTATGTTTACATTTTTTTCAGCCAACTAACAAGCATATATAGACACATTTGTGGTACTAAATACTTAAAACTTGATGGTCAGCCTGTAAATGTTTAGGATCTGGTATACTAACATAGCAAAATTGCGAAGGGATTATGGAAACCACAAAGTATTTCATATTCATCATTCTCTTCCTTATACCACACCATATCAAAATAATAATTACTTTGTTGGCAATTCCACATTCTGGTATAGGGCTACTTCTTACATTTTTCTCAAGTTATTCTTAAAGTGTGTTTATAGTGTTGTTATGGTGTAATTCACACTGAAACAAAACTTCCTGGTGACTGTGGTAGACTTGCAGGGCAATCCTATATATAGTTACTCCTGTCTAAGCCATTGAAATCCATGCACTGAGACTGGAGTAACTCTGCATAGGATTGCACTGCAAGTATGTTCGTTATATTTGGCATGGTGTTGTTGGGTGTTGCCCTATTTTCTTTTGGTAAAATAAAAAGTACTGAATAAGATAAAATAAATCTTCAATAATTTAACTAACTTATAGCACTCCATATTCTGAAACCACATTATACGTTTTTTAAAATGTTCACTTACAAGTTCCAAATGTATAAAATGACACACAGTATCAAACTAGCTATTAAAACCCTATATTCCCAAGTACATACAAAAAGAATTACTGCTAACAAGATTTTCCCATTGTGAAAAAAGTTTCCAGCTACATGTCAGAATAAACAATGCCACATATTGTAGGGTAAGAAAGGACTGAGATTGTACCTTGGGTTCAGCTTCAATCCAAAATTACACAATATGATTTACTTTCCAGTTGAAATCACTGCGACTTAAAAGTGCTTAATTATGGCCTGTATTCATATGTTGTTGCATGAAATATAGCAATTAATAGTGTTATATTAAGCTCTAATTTTGGCCTAGATAACATGATTTAGATACAGGCTGCAGTCTCCAAAACACTTGTACAAAAGTAAATTCAACTTAATCTCAATGGGCCATTCAAACAAACATTTGGACCACTGCAGCTGAAGTCAGCAATGCCAACAGAAAACTGGCATATCTTTTTCCTCATAACAACAGCAAAGTGATGCAGCAAAACTGGTTCTACAAATACTTAATAAAGTGCAATAAAATAGCGTTGTGTATTTTCAGAGATAAACTGGCCAGTTAATACACCACAAAGGATTACTTTATATTCCTGTAAGGAACTGAGTTTATGTATTGTACCTGTATTTTGTTTATTGCTCCAAGGGAATCATACCATGTCTGCACAGCCCAAGGAAACTGTCTAGTGACTGCCATTCGAAGAACAATGCAGTAGGAGATGGTGGTAAATATTTTTCTGAGGATAATTCCATGGATCAGTGCATACGGAAGAACAGCCAAAAACACCACAAAAAATCCGGAGAAGAAGAATGCTGAGCTATTGAAATATCTCACATAAGCAGCCTTATGGGTCAGCTTTAGTTCACTTCTGTCAAAAAGAAAATCAATAAAAGCAGAAGTCGTTATAGTCAGGGAAAAGGCAGCTGTCATCCTAAAATGACAAGCCAATTTCTATTTCCATAAAACAACATTTTCTCAGGATTGTAGAGAGGACCGGTTTTGTTCCTCTGTTGCCTGCAGCAGAAAAGCTTTCCCATGTTACCAGTGAGGGTGCTGACTCTAAAGATAATGGATATTGGTGAATTATTTATTTATTTATGTTATTTATAGCCCGCCTTTCTCATGGGGACTTAAAGAGGAGTAATCATAGTGAGTCAGTAGAACTGACAAAATAGGACATTCAATAACCAATGCATTAGGATTTTAGAAGTCTGGAAAAGCAGAGAGAACTAAAACATAGCCTAAGTATGCACATGACACATTAAGTGGTACAGAAATTACATAAACTGGATCTTACTTACAATAAGGTATACACAACATATAGACCACAGTCCCTAATAATTTATCCAAGCAAGTCTGTATTACCTGCACAGAAAAGCCCCCTTGCATAGTTCAGTTTTGCATAGTTTGTGGAAAGCCAGGAGAGTGGGAGCCTTCCTGACTTCCTCAGGCAAACCATTTATTATTGGTAACCTTAATGGTATTTAAAGCTAGTGTAGTCCTCATATGCTTACACCTGCACCACTGAAACAATTATACCCATCCCATCCTGATCAGCACTTGTATATGTATCTATACATTTATCTCAATAGGGTAAAAACAGGTCCATGGGGGCCTTGTGACTTCTGCAGTGTGGACTTCAGCAAACTGGCTGACCTTGAGACAGACACCTTCTTTCACACCATATTGTTAAAGAAAGAGAAGCCTTTACATCTGCTCCACTAGTGCATAAATCAGAGATAGCAGAAAAGCCTTTAAAATGCTATGTATGCAAGAATGACTGTGTGCGAAGACTGAGAAAGGAGCCTGAACTCTTTGAAATAAGTGAAGCTTTCCCACTATGCCATGGAATGAGACACGTGTGCTAATTAACTGGATACCAGACTGATTATTTTAAGCACAGGAGCAGGGCCAGCAAAAGTATGGCAAGTCTAAATGTTGGAAAATATTAATATGTAATATTAATGTGTAACATTTTTATTAACAATTTTTAACAATTTTACAAACAAACAACAAAAAAGAAACAAAATGTACATTCTTCTTTCACTTAGGCATACAAAGACATTTAGAAATAAATTAAATCCTGATACAGAGGATTTTTTTGGAAGAATGTCTTTTTCCATTAAGTAACTTATAATTGGGAACCAAAGCTTTACCACTTTGTTGTGGGATTGAATTGCTGAACTATTACATAAAGTAAATGACAATTTGCTCAAAATAAAATAATCCCAGATCTTTTGCTGCTATCATGCTTTTTGCTATTATTAATAGAGTCGAGATTCCTTCCTTTTGTCGTGTAATTTGTAATGTTTTCCAGTTTTCCAATAATATCACTTCTGGATTTAATGGTATAACTATTGATGCAATATCTTTTATATTTGATATTATTTGGGTCCAAAAGGCTTGTATTAGAGGACGTGTCCACCAACAGTGAATAAAATTTGCTAGTTGACCACACTTCTTACAATGTGGTAAGTGTTATTTATTTTGTATAGTGTTGCAGGAGAAATATACCATCGTACTAATATCTTTACAGCTTGCAGTTTTATAGTAAAAGTTTTCAATATTTGACTGGCTGCATTCCAAATTTTAATCCAATCTTCTTCTATCAAATCGACATTTAAATAAGCACACCATTGTCTTTGATATAAAGTTATTTCCTCTTCATCTACCTCATTTAGCAATTTGTACATAGTTGTTATTAAACCAGGTGCTTGTTCTTTTGCCTCATTTAGCAATAATTCTAATGAAGTCATTTGTCTACTTATTGGTTTCAGTAGAGGGGATTCTAGCAAATGTTTAATTTGAAGATATTTATATTTTTGTTGTATTTTCTGTTCTAATTTTTCTTTTTCTATTATTTTACCTTTCTCCAGGAAGAGCACTATTCGAGTGATGCCCACCTGTTGCCATTCTTGAAACTCTACCGGATTTTGGCCAGGAACAAACCAGGTTTGGTTAGTATGGGATGCTTGGTATGAAATATCTGGCGCTAATGATTTCTGTCTTTTATACCATATTTTTAATGAATTAACCAAAAGTTTGCTTTTTGTTTCTTTTTTTTTAGTTTTTTAGCTTTTTAATTGTTCTGGGTTTTATAATAAGTCATATAAAGAATTTACCTTTAAAGAGTCTAATTCAATTTGTACCCAAGTTGGGGGTTGACTTGCCATGGCTGCTTTTATGAGAGCAGCCAAGTTTGAAGCTTCATAATATGTGTATATGTTAGGTAGTTCAATGCGTCCACAAGTTATCGATCTGGAGAGTGTTTGAAAATTAATTCTTCATTTTTTATTGTTCCAGAGATATGTATTTAGTTCACTTTGCCAGTTTTTAATTGTCTTTTTTGGTATTAATATAGGAAGAGCTCTAAACATAAATATTTGGGTAAGATAAAAAATTGTATTATATGTAATCTGTCTGACCAATTTAACAGTTTAGCATTCCAGTGGCCCCACTGGTAGACCTCCTGATGGCACCTGGTATTTCTGGCCACTGTGTGACATAGAGTGTTGGACTGGATGGGCCTTTGGCCTGATCCAACATTGGCGTCTCTTATGTTCTTATGTAATTCTTTAATTAGGTTTTAATTTAATGTCGCAACTTTTTGAAGTTACACTCAAATATTTGTTCAAATTTAGCAGGAATATAAATACCTCTGCATGGTTTGTCTGGATGCTTGAAATTATACTTTTCTATAATTATTTTAAATTGGGAATGCTCTATATTTAAAGGATATACTAGAGACTTTTCTCTGCTAACTCTAAGATCTGAGATGTTTCCAAAATTGTCTATGTTATTTTGTAGTTCTTCTAGAGATTCCAGTGGATTTGTAATATATAATATTAAATCATCTGCATATAATGATACCTTATGCTCTTGCTTCCTCACCATAATTCCTTTTATTTTCTCATTTTTTCTTATAATTTCTGCTAAAGGTTCCATCACCAAAATAAACAATAAGGGGGAGAGAGGGCCACCCCTGCCATGTTCCTCTTTGTAGATATATCTTTTTGGAATTATGATTATTTATTTTTAATTTGGCAGTGGGATTTGCATAAAGGGCTTGTATTGTTCTTTGAAAAATTTCTCCAAATCCCATTAATTTGATTGTGTTTCTCAAGTAATTTATATCTATACTATCAAAAGCCTTCTCCACATCTAATGATAGGAGAAGTGCTTTCTTTTTACTGTTTTCACAATGGTGTATTAAATCAATAGTTTTCCTAATGTTTTCTATTATATTTATTTTCGTTAGAAACCCCGTTTGGTCTTTATTAATGTAGTCTGGAAGAATTAATTTCAGTCTATTTGCTATTATTTTTGTAAAAAGTTTTGAATCAGTATTTAAAAGTGTAATTGGTCGCTAAGAGGTCACTAAAGTCCAATCTTTCATAGGTTTTGGTATCAATATAATTTCTAATTGCTGCCAAGTATGTGGCATATCTCCTGTTTTTAATATATTGTGTAACATTAATAATATTACACATTACCCATAAGTAGTACATATTTGTTGTTGTATGGTAAGTACAGTTATTTAGCAAAACATATTTGGACAAAAGCAAGTGCCCTCTTCCCTTCCTCACCAACACAGCATACCCTCACTGGATTAGGGATAGGCATGAACCGCATTTATACAGTTTGTTTCAGTTTGTGATTTGTGGCCAAACCATGCACCACACCACAAACCTATACAAACCAGAAGATTGGTTCATGAACCAAACCTGTTTGTAGCAGTTTCTGACCCCTGATTTCTGCTCCCCACCACTTTTTGTGGGGAACAGAAAGCAGGGGTTTACATGGCTCTGAGTAATTTAAACCCCTGCTTTCTGCTTATCATGGACCACCATGAACTCCCTTAAAATGAATGGAAGTTCATGGCACTCTTCAGTTAGCAAACGCTTTGCAAACCATGAACCAGTCAAAATTCTTCACAAACTCACATTTGTGAGCCAGTTTGTGCCCATCCCTACAGTGGATATCAAGTGCATAGCATCCAAAAACTACAAATACATTGAATATGTGTTGATCCAGACTATGCAGTTGATGTCCCAGATACTGTTCCCAATCATTGGCTTGTATGTGCCTGCACTCAGATTGAAAGTTATATCCCAGCTGTGGTTGTTTTCTCACAGCAGGAATGTTCAGTTGGGAGGGATGGGAAATATGAGGTTACCCCCCCACACTTTCCACTGTGCATAGGGAAACAATCCTGGAAGTATCATTAGATCCAGTTACCTTCTTGTGTACAGAGTACAAATTTTTCTCCATAAGTACAAATAAATGTGTAGTTAAAGAAACCCAGAACATTACATTTTGTGAAGATTGACTAGGATGAATGTGTGTGTGTGGGAGCTCTCTTCTTCTGGATCTTTCTCCTGGAATTCAATGTGTTGTATTTTCATCTGGCTTTGAACTAAAACTACAGAATGCTAAAAATTGTCCAAATAAACCAAATTAAGTGTTTTGGTTAGCTGTGTCTTCTGGTTGGATCTTTAAGGAGGTCAAGAGAATTACAAAAAATACATAAATTCTGCAACTAGAGAAAAGGGAAGAAGAAGACATTACTAACTTCATGTAAAAGAAAGTTAAAATCTGAAGGAACACATAGCTGTTGGAATATCAAGAAAAATAAAGTCCTCACTCCTACCAAATCATGTTTCATGGCAAAAGGCAAATATTATCTGCAATACCTGGGGGAAATTGTGAAGCTCCTTATCAGTTTATTGTATGAGAAAGAAATATATCTCCCAGAAGAGTAATAGAGCAATTGAAGTTGACTGAGTTTCAGAGTACCCTTTCCCCCAGTACAACAAGCAAAAGGTTAATCATTCAGTGACTGTGCATCATCAAGGTGTATTGGGAAGA